TTAGTTAATTTAAAAATATACTCTGAACAATAAATGTCCCGGGCGCTTAGTTGTTAACACTTCTTAAAGCAATAACGCTCTTCCTCTAGATACATCCCCCTCCCTCCCAATATAGCGTCACTTAAATACAGTTAAAGTGGAACACAAGCTGCAACTCCGGCTATTTTCAATTTCCGTAGCGAACAAAGTGTAACTACTTCTATCCTAAGAAATACTTGAACTGATGTAAGCTTTGCAGATGCAATAAGTATGAAGAGATTAAATTAAGAAACTTGCGACTAGGACCAGCACCAGGTGACCTGCTCGTCAACGTGTAAGTCGATTGTGAGGGGGATTCGAACTAACAACAACAGGCTGATTTCATAAGTGAGAGTAAGAAAATGCTGTGTGCTCTCAAGTTAATCGAAACGGTTTGAAATGAAATACGTTCTGTCATATGGAAATCAGATGAATGATTTGGAGGGTGAACCCCTAAAAGTGGGGATGACGACGTTTTCTTTGATGGCGCAAATTGCTCGAGACGGGGGCGAACTAGTCAGGGGAAAATATGCTATGAGGCGAAATATCCAGGCAGCTTTTGCATGGTTTCTTTAAGGCACCCCGAAAACGTACGAAATATTAGTCTCCTATTATCTGAATGTGTTTTTACTGTCCGCTTTGATCATTTTATATAACGTATAGAGAGTATCGTGTAATTTAGCAGATGAAGCACAGCTGAAAACTTATACACGGTAGAGCCCAAAGACGTTTCCTTTTAAATTTAGTTCGCTTATCATGTGAGTCACCCAAAAACTTCTTATTTTCATGATCTAAATCAGGTGAATCCTGAGCTGGTCCTTTCGGAAACTTTCCAGGGATTAATATTTAAAAAAATCTAACCCCACCCCGTGTCCTCTCGTTTGTTAAACAACATAAAGGCAAAGCCAAGAGATTATAAACTCTTCTGGCAAAACCTAAAACAAAACGACTATTGTCTGCGTCCGAAAAAATTATCAGTCGCCTTTGGCTTTTAGAGAGATATCTAGGAAAATAGAGTAGTCTTCTTTCCGTAGCTTATATCTAATGCACTGGCAATATGTTCTACTCTGGGAGATAATCTCGATCGCTGCGCGAGCAATTTTAGCAGGTGTTCCTCAACATGAGGATGCAAGTCCAAGGTTCTGACAAAAAGCTGCGCACACTGAGTCCAGATTGAGTGGGATGACTTACTGAATTTATTCTGACTACTTGATCTAAACGACTTATTTACATTAATATGGATTATCTTTATATGCCAACGCAGTAACGTTTTGCCCTTCACTTCCTGTAATCTTCTAGTAGGGAACTTTGAGAATGACAGCATGTTTTTCCTTTTCACATCTACACCACTAACATCGATAATAGGGGAGACACCAAGAATAAAGAAGCAATTCTCTAACCGAGACGGTAATTTGACGTTAGTTATCATGCATTTGTGCTATCATCCTCATTTTGATTGGCTACCAACCCGCGGCTACCAGTGGGGGATCAATAGAATACTACAGAGCGAGAATCCGGCAAATTTCTATCCCCCCCTCCCCTTAAACTTACTGAAAATTTTCATAAATATCCTTGCTTGAACAAAACGATGAAAAGTTTTATTTGACTTCATCCATCTGTGGGAATCTTTCTTTAACAATATCCTTTGGTATAATGATCGCAGATTGTTTCGTTTCATTGAAAAATAAAAACATTTAGGTCGTGACTTTAAGCATGACGTTTGCGACTTTACGCGACAAAAATTAATTCTAATACTCCTCACTTTTATAATATTCCCAAATCAACTCTGTTCTAAATCACAATATTTTTTCCAATAATTGGCGGCTGTTATGTAACTTACGCTTAAGACCTGAGAGCTCTTTACTCGCATCATGTCACCGTATTATTTCGCCGCTGTCTTTTACCGACAACTAGAAACTCTAAATTTACGAGCACTCCAATTCGTTCCAAAATTTTTTCACAGGAGGAGGATGGTTTGACATTTTGTCAAGAGTATAATTAAAATGATATGTATAAATGATGTAAATAGAATAAGAAAGATGAAAAATTTGTATGAACATCTCAACATTTTGATTCAATTCCAAGGAAAGGTGTTAAGGAAAGTTATATCGTTGCAAACATCTCAGTAACTTGGTCGACTTGCGTATCGATGACCGAGATGGACTGATATTAATTCATTTTCCAACTTCAGCGTTTGAAATCTGCCAGTTGGACATGGATCTTTGTCAGTGGCATATTAATAATTAAGATTAAATGAATAATTAAGCAGCGATGCTATTTGGGTAAACAATACTGATTTGTAGATGTCACTATCAAGGGCCCCAACTTATGACCCACTGCGCTTTGCAAGATATTGCACAGAACTGAACTTGACCTGAAAGCTGTAAATATCCTTCGAAGTCAAAGGGATTCTGCATATCAAGTATGTTGAAAAGGGGCTCTTAAAGTTTTATTTTCCTGTACCGCTCAACAAAATATGGATTTATATCGCCTAAAGAATCTGTTTGAGACTTGTTGATTAACAATTTTCCTCCCCGAATTTCCCCTATTTTGTGATGCTAAACGTTTTCTGTGTGTTCAAAGCCTCGACAACGGCGCAGCTTTAAAATGAAGTTCAAGATAATTCTAAAACGTAAAGTTAAAACTATTCAAACACAGAAGAAATTAGGACTGAATAATTAAACAAGACGTGGTGTTTCGCACTGAAATGTAACACAACTTTAATTCTGAGCTGAACAAACGTAATACAAATATCTTACAGTTGATTTCTCTCCTGGACAAAGTTATTGACAGTTTCCACTAGAGAGGGCATCACATTGCTTGGAAAGAAACAAGGTGTATACAAGGTATGCAAAGTTCAAAATTCACATATTTTGAATATTTAATTTCAAGACAGTAGAGGTAAATATTCCACTTGACCGATAATATTTGTTCTCTCTCTTTGTTCAACGTTTAATATTCCTATTATATATAATACATATATACATATATATATATATATATGTACACCAGTTAGAAGAATTTTTGAGTTCTTTTGAGGAGGTCCCGTTTTCCTGTACGTTGTTCCACTGGTGTGCGGTTTCAGGGGGCGGGATAATCTCCAGGCGTGGCGCCAGTTGTTTGCGAACCTTTATGAGCTAAAATCTCGCCTTTGGTTTCGGGAGGAATACAACCAAAAGAAATTCTATAGAAGAACCCTCGGTCGTTTCACGCCTTGCTGGCTCCCGACACTTCCTTAAAAAAAAAAAACGCTTAAATTATATTTTTATCGCAAACTGCAGTTATTAAGCTTTCTTCTGATGTATAGTTTGCCAGGATTTTAGTGGTACTGGTGCGCGTTCTAATTTTTTTCGCAAAGGATACCCGCGAAGGTAGGAAGTAACCTTAAACCGATTTTTTATCAATCTAAACTACATCGTACCGGCTCGTCAGGAGAAGATAATGGCGACGTGTGGAATTAAAAATCAACGATTTACCCTGAGATGAAGACTTTTTTTTTCGAAGAGATGTCATATAAAGGAAACTGAACATTGTATTTCTTCCAAAGGGCAAACGTGCTTCAGGTCTTTGTTATCTTCGTTCTTCTCAAACGAAACATTTTTCGTTAAGATTGTAAAAATAAATTAAAATTGTCTTTGGCTCTAATTTTGATTCCCTTCTTGTTTCCCGGCGACCACAGACTGACACTGTTTTATTTAAGGCTTGAATAGCGGCATGTTGTCCCAACATCAAAATAAGCCGTTAGTCGTCCGCCGCAATCATTGAAATTTGAGTCAGTTATCACAAGGTTCTTATTTAGGACGACAATTTCACCAATTAGAAGCGCTAATGAACGTGTCTTATATATTCCTTGGTTACCAATTATATCTACAAACCACTTTTGACTTAGAACTGCGAAAACCCTAAGTTTATTGAGTCAAGTCTCCTTAATCATTTCACTAATCTAACAGTTGCTTTTTGGTTAAGCGTGAATAGACATCTAAGTGTTTGAGGACTGTGCTAGCTGCTTAATGATTAATGAGCTCTACACGACTCCTTTGAAAGAAATAAGAAATATGTAAAGAGAAGTCTAAAGCATCTAAACTATAAAATGCTTGCAGAACTTGTCCGATTTTCTAAGTTGTCGTGTTTATTTTATTTTTATTTATGATCGTATAAAAATCCCAATATTGTATCAGCACGTCCTCCTAAAGGATGGGACAGTAAAATTTGCTTTTGTTTTGTGTTTATTCTCTCTTACAGATTTGTGTAAGTCAATTATAAACATTCATCTTAGATTAATGAATATGTCAACAAAAGACAACCGTATTCCGCTGAAACATGTTCTAAGATTGTAAAAAATGACTTTTTCTGCGAAAACAAAATTTCTGTATGACACTAGGCCAGGGCAGAGGAGAATCTCTTTTTTGGCCTTAAAATGGCCTTAACTTTTAACCGTTAGGCGTAAAAGTTGGAAAATTTTAACCGTTACTGAATCGCTAAAAAAGGTAAAAATAATTCCGTAATGGTGCGCCTAAATCAAAGTTTCCAGGTAGTTGCTGTCTTAAGGCGGGCAGAAATACTTTTTAAAGGAAAGATATATCGCACTTCGAAAGTTATGATGAATATGTCAAAAACGAAAAGAGCATGGATTGTGCGATAAACAAGTGAATTCTTTAAGTTCGCTGGATTTACAAAAACACAGCTGTCGTCCAAACTGCATCTCGTGTCAATATCCATCCCCACTTTGACTGGTATATTTTTTCTTCCTTTTTTTTTCTTTAATTCTGGTTCATTTTCAACCATGATTGAAAAAATTTCGCATTATAGTTCTTTCTCCCACCCAAATCACCCAAATGTCAGTCTATGAAATTTCTCTTACAGAAAAGGATGAGCCGATGCTAATGACGATGCGATTCTACATTGTAATTGTACTGTGCATGTGCTACGTGTACGAAGTTTTCGCTCAACAGTGCAAGGAGGATGAGCATGCCATTTCCGGTATGATGCTTCGAGGACACACCTTCAGGACAATGAGATCATCGATTGCATTTGAATGCCATCAGGCATGTTACAATGATTTCAGATGTCACAGCTTCAACTACGTCATTTCAGAGGAAGTATGTGAACTAAACAACCGGACTAAGGAAGCCAGACCAGAGAACTTCGTGCCAAATTTTGAGAGATATTATGTTAGGAGTAATAAGAAAAGAGGTGAGATTGAACGAGAAGTAGCCTTAGTGCTGGTGTTCATTGAAGGAATTTGAACCTGATACAACTATTCTCTGTCTTCAGTTCCTCTTGGCTCCGTTCCTGAATTTCCAGCGGAAACGTGTAAAGAGATAAAAGCAAGCGAAGAGGGGAAAGCGACCAGTGGCAGTTATTGGCTTGATTCCATTATAAAGGGAAAAACACTTCTTGTTCCTTGCGATATGGAAACAGCGGGTAAGAAAACTCGATTGCTGGTATTTGTTGACATCAGTGTAATAAAACTTGATAAAGCACTTTATTATTTTGGTAAAGTAGATCCATGTCAAGTTGTTTTATCCTACAACATTTGATCCCTTTCAATGAGATCCTAATCCCAACTACCAAAAATGGGAGAAACATCATCAAAAATCTTCCATTCCTTGTTTTCGCTTAAATTTACTTATTTGATTAATTATTTATCCGCTTATTAATTTGTCTATGTGCTGGAAGTTTTTGATATTTCATCTTAAAATATGATAAATATAGTAGAGTAGCTATTTTGCACGATTATGTTATTTACCAGGAGCCCATTAAGTAATGGGCTCCTGTATTTACCCAAAAGTAACGGTCTAAAATTTCCAGGAACCTTTTACCCCACCTTATTGTTTTTATGTGGGCAACCTTTGATTTCAGTGGTTAGGAAATACTTCAGACTCATGAGAGTACACCGTGAAAACGAGGTTTGGGGGTGAGAGTGGATATTCTGACGTAAACATGCACAGGGCCTATTATCAATTAGTTTCAAATTTGTAAAGTATATCCAATTATTTGTTGCTAGATGCTGATGAATGCAAAGCCTCGTTACCTGTCTGTAACACGAATGCCATTTGCCAGAATACCCTTGATTCGTATATTTGTGCTTGTAAACCTGGAGTTATTGCAGATGGGAGAACTTGCACTGGTAAGAGGGTTAACAGTTCGCTTTTTCTTGAAAAGTTTAAATTAATTTATAATAAAGTTCGGATATAACGCGTGCTGTCATTGGTTGGAAGAACGTGCTGTCACGTCAAAGCTGTCACGCCATCTGCCAAATTGTGCTGTGTTTGACCTTTTGCGGGACTTCTTTCTGACTTTTTTTCCTTTATTGAAAGTGAAATTTCGGAACAATCGAGCCAGCAAGTAGCAACAGAAGAACCAAAAAAAGGTTTTTAAACAGGCCGGGCGCCGTAATTTACGTTATTGTAACGTGAGTAGAGACGAAAATCCTCAAGAAGAAAACCAAACGGACAGTCCGAGTTTTAGAGGTTTTCACGCTTAGTTAGATGGCAAGCTTATATACGGTAATAAAAATCAAACAGATGCAGCTAACACTCAAATAGTAAGTAAAATTTCGTGATCAAAAACAAAACAGAACAAAACAAGAATGATGAAAACTATAACCAAACTGGCATAACTGTTAAAATTCATACTAATCACGCTGAGGTCCATCGCGGCTAGCTCATTATGACGATCTTCTGTCATCGTAGTGAAGCAAGCCTCAGGAAGTACATCGGCCGCCCTTCGAGTGAAAAAATAAGAGTTTGCTCTGATATCCTTTCCGATGCGTTGAGTGGAAGGCCACATCAGTCACTGCAGCCGAGTGTCACGGTGTTGTCATCCCGAGCGATTCTTATGTTCCAGTGAATTCGGCTGTCGTTCATTCTTAAAACACTCGCCTTGAACTGTTTGTTTTCTACTTGTCATATGAAAAACTTGTGTGTTTTTATGAGCCAGATTTCTGCCAAGTTTCGCAGAACATTTCACCTTCAGATTCTGTATTAGAGACTAAAAAACTGTTAAATTCGACTTGCCGAACTATTCAAGCTTTTAAACTATTGCAGAATGTGAACTGTGATGGTTTGACATTTTTGACAGCTTTAGTTTAGTACAGCCAATCAGATTATTTGAACCATTCTAACAGGGATTCTGATTGGCTTATGTAGCGTGCTTTATGAGAGTATAGAGCATGCTGACGACACTGTTGCTCGCTTTGGAAATAAAGTTTGTTTTGAAAATTGAAAGTAATGCTTGGGAGTTTGCTTGGGGAATTTAAGGGATTCTTTATAATAAAACAAATAAAGAAGCTTTGACTGTGCTCTGTTCTGTTTTAAAGCACTAAGGAAGCGGCTAGAGCACTCAAGAAGCGGGGAGAAACACTCGACTACGTCTCGTGTTTCTCCCTACACTTCTTTCGTGCTTTAGCCGCTCCCTGCGTGCTTTACAACAGAGCACAGTCAAGGCTTCTCTGTTTGTTAAATAAAAGTGAATCACAAACCTGGACGACTTTAACCGAAAGGGCGTAAAATCTGATCATATTCCGTAGAGTAGAAAGGAAAACAATAAAAACAATGGATTAAGGAGGCTGTTTTTATTTTGACGAGTCCTGAGCACGTCTCTTTTACACCAAGAAAGAGCCGTAATTATGGACAGCGGTTTTGTTGTGGTTAGTTGTCATTAGCAAGGTGTCACAAAGTAACAGGAAATGCAACAAGCAATACAAAAGCCTTTTTCTAAGGGAGTGTATGTCTGGCGGTGACACAAGTTGTAATGCAAAACCAAAATAGTGCAGCTTGAATGAAGCTACGTGCACAACGTGATTAAGTACAATAGACAAAAATACGGAAAGCCTTGTTGATGTCGCCATTCGCGAGCCACGGGTAAACAAAATCCGTCTTTCAGAGAAAGCATTCACAGTGATTTTCAAAAAGGAAAATTATGTCGGATCTAACAACATTTATTGTATCTCAATTATTATGTGCACTATGATTGATAATTTTTAGCAGGCCTCTTAAAAATCACGGTACGTACCCCAAAAGTAAACAGGTTTTTTTCAATTGAAACCTTCCCCCTCTATGTAAATTACAAAACCTTGCTTTTTTTCTGCTCGGATTTATGACCATCTTTGTGCCTGGGCCATAGAATCGAGCAGAAAAACAAAGTTTATAGCTTGGTTTGCGGACCTCTATCCGAAGTGAGGGGTATCTACAGTTGTATAAAAAAACTGATGTTACACTTTAAGTAGCAATTACAAGGAAACCTCAAAAGAAAATGCCGTGGAATTCGTAGAATACATGTGTCAAAGATCTGATTACCAGCGCAACGAGCGTGTTGAAATAATATATGCAAAAGTTCTGAATTTACATTTCTTCCAGCTGTACCATCTTGCGAGGCGTTAGGAATAGAGGATCCAAACATCATACCTGATGCCCAAATCACTGCGAGTTCCAATTATCTCAGCTATTATCCACGCAAAGGACGGCTCAATGGAGACAGCGGTTGGTGTCAGCAGTCTTCTAAAATCACTGATAACTATATACAGGTTGATATGGGAGCAGGGCGCACAGTATGCGGAGTCGCCACACAAGGAAAGGCAAACGGATCGTTTATAAAAAGCTACAGGCTCTCGTTTTCTACTGATGGCACCAGTTGGACTGCATATAAGGAGCAAAACGTCGAAAAGGTATAACACGTGACGGTCACTTTTTAGTACGCTGTCAATTTTATCTCTTCTTTAAACATTTTCTAGTCTTAGGTTTCTTCTGTGCGCATGCACAGGCTGAGAGAGGATTTACCGGTTAGTAATAGTTAAAATTGATGTAAGAATAATAAATAACGCTCGGGATAAAGAGTAATTTCAGTGATCTCCAAAATCTGGAGTTTTTCACAATTTTTTCAAATAAAAAAATATTGTCCTCTTCTCCATCGGAACATGTAGAAAAGTGGTCCGGTTCCGCTGTGTCCACAGCAACGGAAATATGAGTATATGTCATGATTCTGTCTACGTAAACACGTGTTAGCCGTTACGTTTCCACAATAGAAACACAGGTTTTAGCAACACTTCCGTGACCGGAATTTTGTTTTTTCGTCCAGTGATATCAGCGGAGGGGTTAAATGAGATCTCAGTACATATCTAGAAAATAAATTATATCAGAGAGGGGAGGGGGGGGGGGAAATTTCATTTAAGTAGCTTACCTAAGAATAAATTTTACCTGATGATTAAAATGGTTTCTCCTTTTTTTCATTGCAGATCTTTGAAGCGAATTCAGACTTGAATACCATTGTAAAACATACACTGAATAACCCAGTCCAAGCAAGATACATTCGATTTTATCCGGTCACCTTTTCTGGGTACCCTTGTATGAGGATCGAAGTGTTCGTGTAGTGATTGAGAAAATCAACAACAGGGCAATGTTTCAGCATGAACCCTCCTAAGTCTTGTATAATGGAATGGTACAAGTGTTGGTGAATGCTTTAAACAGCCAGACATGGCCTAACTGTGGAACTATTTAAAAGTTTTCAATCGTTTCCTGCGTAGTTTACGGGCCGTTTTTCGAAGGTTCCGATAACTTAACGGGCCCCCAGTGCTGTTCTGTTTTTATTCAAGATGGGGGTTTTTAAAATTATTCAATAAACATATTAGCTAAAGAAACAAAATGGATTAGTTACAGTACCAGAACCTGCTGTGCTAATCTTAAAATTCTGATTGAAAAAAATTGCCTCGAGTCCGTTAACGGAACTTTCGAGAAACAGGCCCCTGGACCCAAACCTAATGTGTGCATGAGATGCAAGTCGCGTGTAATACAATTACATTTGTTGTTTTATGTTAATCTTACGTAAACACGAGAATTAATGTTCTTGTGATCTCAAATCACAGATTTTGTATTTGCTTTAAAAGCTCTCCACCAAGCCAGTGATTTATTATGATTTCTGTATAAAAATGTCTTCCTTTGTCGTGAAAAAAAATGATCGAAAAAATAAACGAAAATAGGATGCATCTGTGATATACACAATTTTTAATTTTTAAGAATTAGAAGTGGTTAGAAAAAGAAACATCTTAAAGGTTTGGACCAATATATTGTTTAAGAACAGCCAGAAATTTCCTGTAGATCGACTTAAAAGTTCGGACAAATCAACGAATTTGAAGAGCAACGATTCACTTTTTCATCTAATGCGCTGTTAAGTAGACAGGTGCGACAACAAGGCAAAAAATACAGAAAATGCTTGTCGTATCGGCACTTTTCCGTCGTTGTTTTGGAAGCCATTTTGGAAATGTAGCCGGGCATTTTTATGGAAGGTACTTTATATTTGATTTATAATAGTGTATACGCAAATACGCTGGTCATCAAATCAGCAGTCAACTGTTTACAACGCCAGAAAAAATACTATGCAGAACTCCTCCGAAGGGTGTGTAAGCGTGTGTGCGTGGGTCGTGTGAGTAGTTGTGATATTTTCCGCTTGGCAATTACAATTTAAATATTACAACACTGCTACAATATCTGTAATGCATCTCATTACTAGTTTTTTAAAGTTCAAACCATGTCTGATTTAGCAAGCGATTGTGAGAGGCAAAAGGTTGCGGATAATCTTTGAATTAGCAGCCCGGCAAAAAAATAGCCGGGAAGATATTGACGACTCTCAGATTGCCCTGTCGGTTGAAATACAATATTATCTTCTAAAAGAATGGCATGGGAAAGTTGACAAGAGCGATCCTAGTAGCTAACGCTCCCAACCACATCACTCTTGATAATGATTTGATCCTTCATCACTGTGCCCGCTGACAAGTTTCTCCACTTGATATAATTTTCCCCCGGGTTTATATCTCCTTTTACCTATAAAATCTATTTCAAAATTCGCTGAAGAAAGATTATTTTTATCTTTGTTGTTTTTGCCAACTAACGCCTTCGGACATGCTCCATAGAACTTTGAGTACACCGCAGGCAAGGAGTATCTCGCGAACGAAATGACCTAGATTTCTGGTAATAAACGCGCACGCTGTTGCGCAATTTCGTATTTCAGTTGAATGAAATCTTATTTCTGTACAAAAAAGCAAAAGCAAAGAAACCATCTCTGTTAAAAATAAATTAGTAATTTTTTAAGTTAAGTGTTCAATTTCAATTTCAAATAATTTTGCCCCCTATTTGGCAAGAGCCTTAACTACTCAAGAGGTCACTATGTGTAAACATTTTTTACAATCTTCATTTCTAACGTAATTTATCAATAACATTGGTTAAGTAGTACTTTTTTTGTTAGTGGCGAAAAGATGACTATAAAAATATCACATCCTGCACGTGATATTTCCATCGAAAGATAACAGGTAAATTAATTTAGTTTGCTCCTTACCTCAGTGAGGTGGGTTGAGATCCTGTATGGAGGAGAGTATTGAAAACTGTTGTGACCTGCTTTAATTATTGATTGTGTGGATGTAATTTTAAGAACAATACAGGATAAACATTATCATTTTACCCAAGCTAGAGCTGTGTTGAAGAGACTTATCGTTGAGAGCAGAACATATCGTATGTAGTAAGTTGCTGGAAAAAGTATTCGGAGATGTATTGAATATTACAAACCGGGTGATTGGAAGGCTTCTAACCACATTAACTACCTTTCGTGTTTACTTTCAACTTACCAAATAAACTTTGTTTGTTTAGTGGCCCTCACATCTCGTCAAGAACAACGCGAAATTTTTTTAAAAAATTGGGTCTTTCTTTAAAATCGAAAATTTAACTGTTTCTTGATGCATTAAAATCTTACGGCAAATGCAGCAAAAAAGTTGCTTTTTTACTTTTCGTAAAAGCAGCAGTTTTACAGTTTCTAGGTTTCTAACGTTTAACATCGCTTACATATTCTTCATTCGATAAAGTGAAACATCATTTGGTGTCCAAATTGGGCAGAATTGTGACATGAACTTGGCACTGAAGAAAGTTTGACGTTGTGTTTTACTTATTTGATACACAGGCAAAAGAAATTTCCAGCACATTCGTCTCTTGCAGACGAGAACGTAACGCCATAGAATATTCACGAAGAACCCAAAACATTCCATATACCTGAAACATTCGTAATGAACGTCTCTGAGAACTTCTAGTATATATATATATATATATATGTATGTATATAGTGTATATATATATCTTATAGAGCTATATTTATCATAGCTCTTTTCTTCTTTGTCCAAATTGTGACAAAATTTTCTCATTAAGGTTAGCTTTAGTTTGAAACCAAAACTTGAATTGCATCTGCACTACAGCTTCTTCTTCATTGTCCAATTTATATCAAAATTTGCACAAAACGCTATGAGTTTGATCTCACCCTTTAAAAAACCTTGTTTTGAGAGCAAAATTAAAGAATTCCGAATTATGGTAACATTTCAGTACACGTTACACTAAAGGCCTGTCTTCAATCTTTTGACTACTTTATTTTTTAAACTAAAGCTAAAGAATTCTGTTTGCAGTATAGAGCTTTAATTTCTTTGTTCAATTTGTGACAACATTTTCATATTAAACCCACAGGTTGAGTTATTCATACTTTTGAATACTTTTTTTTGAAACTAAAACTAAAGAATTCTCTTTGCAGTTGAGCTCTTTATTCTTTGTCCCATTTGTAATAAAATTTACACAGAGCGCGTTAAGGTTGACTTCAAGCTTTTGAATTCTTTATTTTGAGACCAAAACCAAACAGTTCTTTAGAACTCTGGCCATGCAATGCATGAGAGGTGAGCTCAAAATAAATCTATATTTGAAATATTACCAAAGCAATTTTTAAAGAATTTTAATCAGGATTACAATTCCTCTGAAGTACTTGTTAGAGCCAGGAAATAAATCAAACCATAAACAACGTTTTTATTCTCATCACTTTATTTTTAGATAAGGCTCTTCTCGAAGACGGTAGAATAGACACCAATTAATCTTGAGCGACTAAATCTTGCTCGTAAACAGACAGTGAAAATCCTAAAGGGGGTAAGTTTCCAAAGAAACTGTAAGACTGCGTCGGTATTTGAAAATAACTTAATTTTATCAACTGATTTGATAGTGCATATAAATCAGCCATCGTAAATAGTTTTTACAGCTGACGTTTTGAGCGATAGCCCACCGTCATTCGCTCTAACGAAGGGTTAGCAATCAAGAGGTCAGCTTTAGTAACTCTTTACGGCGGCCATCTCAGTTATCAACTCAGTTGATAGAACCAAATTATCATGAAAATCATAGTAAATTTTCAGGACAACATACTGCTACGCGGAATTCACACGTTTAGTCTGTTTTACCGTAGTGATGAATAATTTGAAAGGAAATTCCTGGTGAGCAGATGTCGTAGAGAGCACAAAATTGATTAGCCTACGTATAGACGCACCCCCCCCACCCAGGTGAAACGGAAGCGAGGGAACGTGTTACCTCGCCTCCGTTTCACCTTATATAGCAGGTGCAGGGAAACCGGGTTCCAGTCCTCTGAACATTACCTGCCTATGAACTCAACATGGCAATTGAGTGCCAATCCAGTTACAGGTTTTACAACCGGCGGCCAGTTGCATTATTCAAGCAAAAATATATTTTTTACAAATTTGGTTAACGTTTTTATTTGCCTTTATTTCACTAAAGCACAATAAGTTGCAAATGATTCAGTGAGGCTATCACAACTGCTATGGGAATTTAGAGCTCAGCACTGATTTGTGATTAAAGACTAAAAATGGATTCATTGATAACACAGCCACTGACGAAGAAAAAAAACCTCAAACGACTGGGTTTAAGGGAACGAAGGTTAATATCAGACATAAACATACATAGAAAAAATTTCGCTGCCTAAATTTAAATAATGCTACTTGAGTAATGGTTAAACTAAGCGAGAATTGGGAGACCCGCAGTACTCAATTTACGCAACGTTACACTTGGGGATGTAAGCGTCTTGTGGGCTGTTTTTGACTTTTTGTAAAATAAGTAACTTAAAGATTAGACAAGAATCCAGCACCAAACAAAGTATGTCATCGAAAGGACAGCGTATACAGAGAGAGCAATTCGACGAAGCCGTATCTTGCACGACAAATACTGAGTAGCCAGATGGCTTCAATTGCATAATCAGTCATAATTTATGCGTCGTGCTCTTTTCGGCACGGTGCTCTATTCGGCATTCTACAGACTCCAGGTAGGTGAGGTAACCTGCCTGGCCATGATCGAAAATAGCCCGTGTTTACATTCATTCTTACAAGCCGGGATCCCGGGGTGAAGTTTCTCGAGGTTGTTGTCGCGCTTGAACTGAGGGAGTTAAGATTTCTTTACGGCGACGTGTGGTAAAACGTTGGCGTCTTGTTGAGTTCAAAGTAAAACCGCGATTAAATTGCTGTCGAGGTTTCATTGCTAAGAGGACGTAGAAGTTGGTGTTTCACGTTTTGGTTCTGTATGGGACAGCTAGGAAATTTACAAAGTTATAAAACACACGTGTTTCGCTATTATTTTGTTCATTTGTTCTCTTTGATATTCACTCCACTAGATTATGAATAAATAATACATGAAATTTATCACTACAATAAAGAAACGTTGTGGAGAAGGAGACAACCAAAGCGCTGACGCACCATGCTAGGGATGTCCTACTAATTAAGGTGTAAGAGAAATATATACAAATATAGTAAAAAAGTTCTAATTATCCTCAATAGAATTTAAAACATTCCTTTTAAAGGCTGCAATACTATTTGATTCTCGAATGTTATTAGATAAACTATTCCATTCATTAATTAGCTTAGATCCAAGTACCGCAAAGGGAATGGAGGTCACTATGCTGTTGCATGGGGAGCTGATCAAATCCGATTTTGTACGACTTCTGATGTTTAGTGAAATATCCAAGTTCCTGTCCGTCTTAACCGATAACAACTGTTATTATTTGATTCATAACTGGATTCCGAAAGAAGAATTGCTGTTAATCTCCAATGAACCTTTTTTTTTTCGTAAGTGACAATGAAGAAGCCAATCATATGAAATCTTATCTTCACTTGGGAAAACAAATGTCGACAAACGAGGCACAACGCACCAAAAATATCGCATGAGCGAGAAATGGAACCGCTCGTGCGAGAGACGGGGAGCGGGTCGCGAGACACGATAAGGCATGCAAGAAGCTAAGTATGACTTTATGACTTTCTCAGGGGTTTACAGTATAGTTGTGACTGTAAGGAAACAAGTCGTGGCACACTCTGTCGTCAACTTTGTGGGGTCACACAATTTTTATCGGTGCGATGACTTCCTCTCGATAGAAACCTTGTGATCGTAACCCTCTAACTCCCATGAGTGACCAAGACAGAATTTCTCCTTACAATATAAATACAGTATCAACCAGATGAGTAATGAGAATATAGAAAAATATCAATTTGGGGAAAATAGGTTGATCCAATATTAAATTCTCTGATCTAATATTATAAGAATTGTATCGTTGACAGTAAGGAGAATTACAAATTTGACCTGGGAGTTAAAGGGTTAAACAATAATGGAGGTCGCTTCGTCAGCGCCAGTATCGAAATTAGCCGTAGAGTGCAAAATTTTGTTGGAGTGTTCTATGACGCTATGTTGAGTTATGGTTGTAAATGCTCTGAAATGCTGTTTGAAGCTGAACGTAAGGAAAAGAAATTCAATCGGTATTAAACTTGACATCAATTAGATCCGAAAATAGCTCCGGCTTAAACTCCATCAAAGTACTATTATTTGGAACGTTTCCAACTCACTCAGTTCAGACTGGAGTCTTGAACCCTTAAAAATCTCGATTTTCTAATTTTTACATGTTAATCAGTATAGGCACTTCAAGCCAACGAACTTCTGCAGTTTATCTCATTTATCGATTGCCTTCCAAATGTGGGAAGAAAGCATATTACTGTAAGTGCTGTTTATTCCATGCATTGCTGAGATCATGGTGCTGTAGAGCCTAAAGCAGCATTCTGATCGAACAGTATGATTTAAACCGCGATCAAATGTGTTACTATTTCTTTGTATAAGAATTACCTCGTTTACGTTTTAAAATATCGATATGTGACGAATGCAAGTTGTTATTCAGCTCTACATAGAGATGGTACGTTGCAAGGAATGTTTTTGTTTGTCCATTAAAATTAAGAGTAATCGAGTTCATGATTCAAACCTCCTAAATAAAGTTTAACATTGGTAATAGTTTGTGTTCCCCGTAGACATGTATACTTTTTAATAGTTACGATAACTTTTCACGGTGTGATGTCCTTTCTATATACACCCCATGTCATTTGGGTTGTTTTCCTTTTCATGCAGTACATTAGCCAACTAATACTATACAACTTCCGATTAAACCTAAGATTGTAAAGTTCATCTTGGATAAATCAGGCTGAAGAAAGCTCTGGTTGGCCAATTTCCATCAATAGTCTGTGTGGCTATGAAGTCATACTATTAGGCCGGGCTCTTCACAAGGGCCGATCAAAGTGACTGTAGGAGCCTGCCACTTTAACCTGTAAACAAAATAATCAGAACACCGTGATTTAATGGCAAGGGAAAACAATAGACCGCTTGAACTACATTTGATTGTTGAGATGGGAGCCAAGATGAAGCCTGAAATATGAAAACCACAAAGGGTGATTGTTGTCAACTAGGTATTAAAAAGAAGACTGAGGATCCTAACTAACAAATATCACTATAAAACAGAAATTACATTTAATTGGAGAAATGTGATGAGCTGTACCTTGCACGGGTTGAAGGCTGACATAGTGCACCTCATGAATATGTCCCAGCACAAGAGGTTTGCTTTCGTCAACTGGACAATGTGGCGTAATGATTACATCATTGCTATGGGATAGACTGCTGACCACACGAATGCACGTTCCAAAGGAGTTTGCTGCGGCACACAGAATCACGTGATCACCCCAAGCACCATCTTGTTCCATGTGTACTAGGTATTCAGTCCATGTTTGAAATCCATGGACAAAGTCAAACAGATCTGTTCCATCCGGCTGTAAGAAGAATCAATAAAAGGAGGAAACTTAAAAGGATTGTTGATAGAAACTTGAGCGCATGGAGTAAAAGTCAGGTAGTAACTTTATGAGAATGGTACGAGACAACCTTCGAGTAGCAATTTACTGCATAGTAACAAATTTTTGTGATTGAAACGTCTTTCAAAACGTCCGTGTATGTTTCAAAACGCTTTGACTGTAATTCTGTTATCTGATGGCGGTTTAAAGCCAACTTTTTTTTGAACTAAATATTCAAATGACTAAAACCGGGTTGGCCTGCTTCTTCAGACACCACATTAAATCACATATGAATTTCACTGTAACGAACGTCATTGTGTGGCTTCTTGAATAATAAAGTTAAATATTTCAAGTTCCCCTTTCCACCAAGAGTGCGAGCTGGTATCAGAACTCCTGAAAAAAAGACCATCATTCCATACAGGAGGAGTAACAATATTTCTGGTTGACTTCATGCTGTGAAAACTGGGATAGGTTCTAATGGTGTTAGCCAAGTAGCCTGTATTATCGGTAAAACTTTATCATACTCTTTAAATAACATCACGTGACATACTCTGTTAGACATACTAACATCAACTTACCAGTTTTGGGTTACCCCTGAGGTACTGAACCAGGTTTTGTCTTAATTCGCCATGTGGGATTTTGATTCCCTTAACAATTTCCAGTTGTTCGGACAAGGCGTAGAACATGCAATTTCCTAATCCTTGATTGTCAGATATTCTGAAGCCCCTGTCTGATGCAATATTCCTTAGCCCCAATGAGAGATCTGTTCTGCTCTTGACTTTCCTTGCATCGAGTTGCATCTGCTGAAGTTCCTGGATGATTCGGTCAAGAGAACCTAGAAAAGACAAGGTTTTTAGTAATCTAACTTCATGAAAAAAGCGGATCGAATCGTCTGTTGGAAAATAACAATTCTCAATCTAATAGAAGAAACCTTAGGGTCAAAACGAAAATAGCTTCAATCATCAGACTTCTGTTTTGTCCAACAACTCATCCTTAAAAAGGAAGCTGTAGCCGTCAATTACGTTACTTTTTAAGTTCGATTTCTGCCCGTGAATGAATACACTAATAAGCAAGAGAGAAGAAGTGAAGAAAAATTAACGACGAGGTCCACACTCATATCGGTGTAACTGGAGAAAGGAATCCTGAAATAAAAGTACGAGCTTCAAAAATATTCTGATGTATTTCCTCTACCGTATGAATATGTGATTACTTCATTATTGCTTCGAAAGACAACTATATCAACACCTAGCCGTCTGTTCGGATCAGGAAGTAAAAGGAAATAAAATGTGTTTGTACACGTTTTACGTTTGTGACTGAAGAGTGCAGGGGTATAAGTACAAACATGTCTCATAAGTTAAAAGTACCTTGCTAAGTTTTTACAAAGCATAGCTGGCATGAAGCCAAAGTTAAGGAGAGAAAATTGCTGGATCTCCTTGTAACCTGTCTGTACTTCTTTGGGGATGTCAATTATCATGTGTTATTAAATTCTTTTACTCACTTGGAGTCAGTAATGAATCAACTGTAAGTTGTTCAGTTGATGTGCCTTGCCGAGCTCTAAAACTTGTGTCTCGTCTTTTAGAAGCTAAAAAGATAGAAAGAAACTTTGTTTTAATATCACAGAAAACAACAATATGATAAAATGACTGATTACTATTCATGTTTAACATCTTTTTTATAGGTGTTTATGCTTTAAATCACAGGTAATAAAAGACCGACACCAGAGTAGCCCCCTAAATCACTTTTTGAAGGATATTCAAAACATTCTCACCATGAACTATGTCCCACATCTTCTCCACAAGACTGTCACACTGTTTCTCCCAGCTAAACTTCTCTTCATATGAACTCCTCAGTTGCTGAATATCTTGAAGTCGATCTGATCTCTCTTTCTGTCGGACACCAGCAATTGCCTTTGCCCACTCCCCTGGGTCCTCAGACTCCACCACGAATGATTTGCCTGATGGCACAGTGCACAGTGCTTCACCAAATCCTGAGTTTCCACTGACAAGAATAGGAAGACCAGCAGACAACGCTTCTAACGCTGTTAAACCAAAACCCTCTGTTCTAGAGGGCATGATGCAGAGATCAACTTCACAAAATAATTCTTTCAATCTCTCTTTGCTGTGCACAAACTTCCTCACGGTCAGCTGGTTTTTATCAATTCCACTCTTCAGCAAATTCGCTGCAACCTCATCCTGTTTACCGTCAGGTGCACCCACGAAGATGAGACAGTAAGACCTGTCTTTTAGTTCAACTATTGCTCTGGCAGAGATATCGTAACCTTTAAGGCTAAAGTCCTCTGGGTCACCACGGCCAAACGTCAGTACCTTAAACTTGTTACTCTCCTTTGGGGCTTGTTTTACGTCAGAGAACTCACGGAAAGTTCCAGGAGTCAGTTGAAAGATGTCGTTTTCACTCTTGCATGAGCGGAGCTGAGCGGAGAAAGCGTCTGTTAGCTTTGGTCCGACTGCTAGCACAGCATCTGCCAACTTACACAAAGTCACTTCAGTTAAATTCTTCTCTTCACCTTTAGAAATAGCCTTGGGATAGTTTTTGTGCATTGCAAGTTCTTCGGGCGCAGTGTGCACTACCTGTATCCACTTGCACTGGTGCGATTCTCTAAAGAATTGAGCTTGTTTACCAAGCTTTGCTCCATGACCCAGCACTATGTCAATGTCCAGATCTCTCGGTGGGGCACTCAGCCAGTCAAGGGAGTCGGCATAACCTGGACGTTTTTGTGCCTCTCTGAGGGATACATTGTGAATTCGAGCCATTCTCCTTTCTTCTTCAGAACAAGCAAACTGTGGGACAAGGAGGGTAACGTCCACTTCAGAGTGCTTGGCCAACAGAATGGCAAGCTGTCTGTTGATGGTGGACAAGCCCCCCATTGAGGAACTCCACTCATTGCAAAGGAGAGTCACCTTCAATGCTGTGGCAGACTTCATTGAGTTGATTTCACTTGCTTCATCATGGGATCTAGCAGCTTCATTTGAAGAGAACAAACCCTGAAGAAAGAAAGGTCATATAAGGTTATGATAATTACATAAAAATACTTTGGATGTGGGCATACAAATTTTTATTGATTAATACTTTACCAAGGAAAAACAAAAAAAGCATAAAATTCCAAAAAGTATAAAATTTAAAACTGAAGTCAATCTATCAAGCTCCCTTTCTCAAAACTGATCACAGCCCAATTGATATTCTCATCAAGTTAGAGGAAAAAAGCAAAGATAAAACTGAGGCTAGAAATCTTTGCTTGAAAGATCATTATAATCAATTATACCTGGAATCTTCTTTTCAAGAACCAGTTCTGCAATCCACACACTGGTTCCACCTTATTGCAAGGTTTTCGCTTGCAGATGTCTGGTTCACCTTTATTTGCATCAATGAGGTGGAAGCAGTCCTTGTGTGTGCAAGTGGTTTTCACGTGGTCTGAGCATGCACGACGTGTTTCTTCTGCTCCTTCATGACAGTAAGGACATGCAACACACAGTCTATACCGCAGTCCCCTCAGGTATGCCATTTCTTGTGACAAATTCTTCAGGGTGTCTTCAAGAAATTCACGAACAAGAGGTGCTAGTTTGATGGAGTTCTGTCCCACAACCTGATGACTTTGTGCTTCTCTTTGTCTCAAGATTACCTTCACGAATCCTGTTTTGCATATGAGAACAAAATCATGAATATCTTTCCCAACGATGAACCATGCTCCATTTTGGTACAGGCTAGGTTGATGCGTGGCCCATGTCTTTGAACACCAACGGATGGATCGCGAGACAAGCTGCAAGAAGAGACCATGAGGGACAAAGCCATGGACAAAGAGGAGATATAATGGACATGGATCAGTTGATGATGGTTCCATCTTACAGAGTTCTTCAGGCGATGACTTCAACTGAGCTGGTACAAAGTACTTCTCATCAGTTAGGGAAGCTGAGAACTTAGCGATCAAACCAAATTGCTCCATCATGTCTAAGATGTCTTCTCTAATGATTCCTTGATCAATAAAGGTGGAGAACACATGATCAACAAGTTCCATACTAAGGATGCCACTTCCTTCAAGTTCCCTCCAGTACTCAGCATATAGGGGAATCTACAAGATATATAAATAACATAAATTCCAGATAAGAGTGGTCCACTAAATTTTCCTTTTGAATTTTTTACACGTTTATGTACAAGAACTAAAAATTTTGTATTTTGGACTGCTCAGAGGTGATTATTAGTTGTTACTCAGCACAGTAAAAGCCAATTAGCGCAAGCGAAAAGAACTATTCACTTGTATGAGTGCAATTATTTTGGGCGGTAGCAAGTCAATGCAAGTCTCTTGTAAAGTAAAAAGGCCAAACCAATTTATGACCTGAAAAACTAAAAAGGTACATCAAATAACTTGGGGTCCGCAATTGTAAAGATTAAAGAGTAAAAAGAAGTCTCATTCTCATTTTCTGTTGGTCTAAATTATTGAACATTTTCCAATTAAGGCCTTTCAAAAATGAATCTTTTTTCCTACCTGTTTATTGAAAGGTGGAATGGTTATCAGCTGTTTGAAAAGATCAATCAACCACTGAGCCTTCAGTACAACTGTACTGCGGTGCTTGATTATCATCCCCAGACCATGATAAAAACTGACCATGGACTCAAACTCTTTTGCATCTTCCATGAAACAATCTCTCCTTGCATAGTGCTTAAGTTGTTGCAGATTTCTGTGATAAATCTGTTTGCCCAGCAAAGCTTCAATTACCTTTTCAAACAAAAACCATCTAGAAGGCAACAGAATAGTTAAAATGTATTGGGGTTAAAAATTGGATATTAACTTCATTTAGACGTGTACTTATTTGTAGTCTTCCAGTGTTAATTCATCTATTTTCTCTATCTAGCTATCTCCAAACTTTAGGAAAATTCAAACATGGTTGTGTTTTTTCACATGAACAATCTCAATTCAAAGAGCTGTGCCTTCTCAAATATCCATCAGACATTCACAGCTTTTTAGAGACAGTATTGTCACAATGTCATGAATTAGAGTTTTGTTTGTTTGCACTTAAATGACTGCAGTGTATTTGTATAGTCTGATGTTTTAAGAGTTTTGATGAACTTCAAACTAGTGGAGGTAAGATACTTTTGTGTTGATATACATTTACATGCATATACAGTTATGCTCAAAAGACTGACTGCTCTTCAAAGTACTATTCATGACTGTTTGAATGAAACATTGATCCCAAAGTCCATGAAATGAGGTTTGCCAGATAAAAAGTTATTTTGGTTTACCTGACAGGTATTTTCTCCCCCATATAGGGCTCCTGCCTCAACACTTCCAGGATTCTGTTCTGCAATTTGTCTATTCCATCCGCTTTTCCTTCTTCCTCTGCTGGATATGTTTAGAAAATGAATTCAAAGCAAAATGTAACACAGAAACATGTCCTTACAATGAGAATAGTTTGTGTCATGCATACATGTGTGATCACAGATATCTTATAGCTGACAACATAGCTCAGATGATAATTCTCCAACTCCCAAAATCATCTTCCTTATTTTAAACTCTAAGATTGATGAATCTGTCAGCAAAAATTTATAGACCCCAGTATAGTGATGCTGGTACATAAAGTAGCTGAAAGCTGAGAAGAGTGCAGCCTCCATTAGTACCCTGAACTCATTCAACCAGGGTGGTATCCTTCACTTACCACTCCCACTGAGACATTCTACATGTCTACAAACCTTTTAAAATTATAATGACACACAGCAGAACTGCTGGGTGACATGTAAATGTGAGTCAGATAATAATTATTGCATGCTTAATGCTTGCCAACCATCTACCAAATGGGCCTTTGATTAAAAGAAAATGGCCGCAAATTAAGTGTTGTTGGAATTGACCCAAAGACAAGCTAGTAACCAATTACAAAACCATCAATTACTACAAGTAACACATTGTTAAGGATACAAAATGACATGAGATATCTTACCTGTTTTATGTTTCTCTCTTTGCTTTAGAATCTTCTGGATAAATTTCTTTATCAAGTTTTGTTCCTGAGTGTTGTCAATCAAGTTTCGTCCCTGAGTGTTGTCAATCCAGAATAAAGGTCTGACCACATGCTTCTCATATTCCATACCAGAAATTCTCTCCTGTATTTGTTTCTTTATTACTTCTATGTCTTCTACTGGTTTGTCAGCATGTGACCACATGCTTCTCATATTCCATACCAGAAATTCTCTCCTGTATTTGTTTCTTTATTACTTCTATGTCTTCTACTGGTTTGTCAGCATGTGTTCCAACAATAAACACTGGGGGGCGAAGGTAGGGTAGCTTATGTTGTGCATCATCCTCCGGGTCATCAGTTGCCAGGGCAACACCGTGTACTGTAGCCAGCCATGACAGCAAATTCTCCATGTTTGTTTCATTGTTAGGGTTTTCTAACTTCACATCATTACTCCCTTGCCTCATGCAAGGCTCAGCTGTGGCATCCAAAGGCTTGCTGAGATTGTGCACCAGTATGTATAGTGCTCGTTGTGATAAGAAAATAGGATGGCTGGCATAGTACAGGTGCTGCCCTGCAAAGTCCCATATATCCATTTTGACATAGGATTCTTCTTTGAATGAACCACTTTCTATGTCTTTGCCTTGGAGATACTTCAACCACTGATGAACATGCTCTTCAGTATCAGGGGGTTGAGCGACATCAATAATTACCTTGGGCTCATCTGAGATGCAGTCCATCGAGTGTTCAATGCTAATGTTGTCCATAGCATCTACTGACGCATAGTCTCCTTTATCCCCAACCTGAGTAAAGTATCAAATAGGGTGAAATTAACTACTTTAAGTACCACAGTTATTTAGTTTAGCCAGCAAACTCATTCCACATCTGAAATAATTATGTCAAAGTTTGATGTAAATTAAATAAAATGACAGTACATGTACATGGAAAAGGTTCTGGTTATTCATCATGGTGAATAACAATAAAAGCTAAGTTTTTCCTTTGTCTCACGATGTAGTCACATGTGATGTAGATCGCAACGTTTTGACTGCCTACTGCTAGTCTTCTTCAGGCGATGAGGGAAATTATTGTTTAGACCACAAACACTTCCCTGCTTTTTGGCTAGAACCATTGCACACACAAAAAAAATCACTTCAGAATTTAACAATTTCAATTTTTGTTTCACTTTAAGGTTGAAATAATCATTATTTGACATTAAGCATTTTAAACTATACTGTCACATAAAAAAGCTGCCTTAAACATGTTTGTAAAGAATACTTTTGAAACTCTTACAGCACCTTTTTCCTGCCACATTTGTAACCATCAAAAGATCCCTCTCCAAAATCTGCTGATGAAACACGGGCTGAATCTTTTTCAAAATCTTCTTTTGAACTTTTATCTGCATCGTCTTCTCCAAAATGTTTTAGCTGCATAGTCATTTTTCTGGCAAACTTGTCTTGTACAAATATTTTCTCTACCACAATCTTTGCCACATCTTTAGAACATTCCAGCAGTCCTGGTTTATTCTCACCAATAGACTGCCAGTTCCTTACAGCTTGGTCAACATCAATTTCACACTTTGAAGGATCCACTTCAATGCCTTCAGTACTCTGTTCTTTAGAGTCAAATGGAAGGCCTAGGAGACTCTTCTTTAAACTGGTTTTACCAGCTCTATCCTGACCGATGAGTAATATTCTACCACGGTAAACGGTGACATATCCATCTTTCAAAGCCCTTTCATAAGCCAGCTGTGCTTTATGTCCATCTGCTATTTGGTCTTATCAGAAAAAGTTTTCACAACACAAAGGAAAAGTAAGTTGTGTATTCATTTGTAAAAAATAATTTTAGAAAAAAGGTAAAAGTTGACAAATCAACTACTACAAATGCCTAACATGAATAATTTTGGAGTAAGGCTGGTATACAAAAACTAAACCATCAAAATTTTTTTTTTTTTTCTGATGTTCATGCATTAGTGAGTTTAGAAAACATGTCGTTTAATCCACTCTTACATAAAAGTTACACAGCCAGTCAAAATAATAATCCTCTGGCATGAAATGTAGTGATGAGTTTGGTGAACATGCACACCAAAACTAAACTGAGTCAATGTTTCATAACATTAAGAATTAGAACCACTTATGATGGCATGTATACACAAGAGAGAGGCAATGACTTATAACAATTCTTCAAGTAGTGAGGAGTCAATAGCCAATTAATTGTTTGTAAAAGAGAGAGAGAAAGAGCGCATATTTCCACTATGTAACAACTGTAAGTTTAAAAAAGATTACACAAAAAAATCATCAGTCTAAATTATATGGAAATAATGATCAGAATTCTGTCACGCTAAAACACATTTAAGTTTTATTCCTGTAACTTAATTCACAAATTGTATTAGATTATAAATTTTGTTTGATAAGCCAAAAGTTATTCAATTTATAAACACTTCCAATTAATCAAATAGAAAGCAAAAATAAAACAACAATTCCTAACAGTGAATGAGTCAAGATTCACTTCAGCCTTTCATTATTCCAGTCAAATAGAAAGTAAAACACAAAACAATAATTCCTAACTGCATAGAATAATTTGTAATTACATCAACCCTCTTGATTCCACATCAAATCATATTTCCATATTGATGAAATTAAATTTAAGTGTCAGCCAAATTGTCAAAATAAAGCTTTTCAATATATAACAAAAACTTCCAATTCAAAAGTCGTGTATTTCTTAAGTGACACCAACATTGTTAAATCATACAGTAACTGTGACAGTATTTACTTCAGGCTTTATTGTGTAGCTATTGCCAGCTACTTGTGATAATCAGTAACAAGCAGAACAACCACTTGCAAGTCAATCATTAGAACTAATTTAGTAAATTTAGTAAATACAAGTGTCAAAACATTAGTGTGACCAGAAATTTCCTTTACTCACCTTGGAGATCTGAATATACTTGGTCAATCATTCTTCTATTTTCTAGCTCCATAACACTTCTTATTCCTTCAACTGTAAAAGGATTCCCATTCACAAACAACAATTGTAGTTTCTTCAGCTGTTTTATAGCTGGACCTAACACAGTCAGCTGGTTATAACTCAGATCCAGTTCCTCCAGCCTTACTATCTCACCAATAGCATCAGGGATGGCGGATAGTTTGTTATGTGAGATGTCCAGCCATTTGAGTTTCCTCAGCTGTTTTATAGCTGGACTCGACACAGTCAACTGGTTGCAACGCAGATTCAGTCTCTCCAGTTCCACCATCTCACTAATAGCATCAGGGATGGTGGTTAGTTTGTTAAATGAGATGTTCAGCTCTATGAGTTTCTTCAGCTGTGTTATAGCTGGACTCAACACAGTCAACTGGTTGCAACTCAGATCCAGTCTCCACAGTCCCACTATCTCACCAATAGCATCAGGAATAGTGGTTAGTTTGTTATGTGAGATGTCCAGCCATTTGAGTTTCTTCAGCTGTTTTATTGCTGGACTCAACACAGTCAGCTGGTTGTAACTCAGACCCAGTACTTCCAGCCCCACCATCTCACCGATAGCATCAGGGATGGTGGTTAGTTTGTTACGCGAGATGTCTAGCCATTCAAGTTTCTTCAGCTGTGTCAAACTTGCAGGGAATATGGACAGCTGGTTTCCACTTACAAGAAGTACCATAATATTATTTAGTTTTCCAACATTTTCAGGTATTTTTTTAAGTTTATTCCTTGACAGATTAAATTTCTCCAACTCAGTTAATTCCAGCGCAGCCTCCGGCAACTCAAGCAAATTCCACCCTGACAGATCTAATTTCTTTCTTCCATAAGTTGTTTCAATCTTACTTCTCAGTTTTTCTTTAGAAATATGGGAATCCATGTCTTAGAAATGTAACTGTCAGAACAAAAAAAAAACAACAAGCTGTCATTAAAGGTGAGTAACTTGAAGTAACTTTCTTGGCAATTATAATAACCATTGAACCAAAAATGGCCAAAAATGAGGTTTATAAGTTAACATCTACTAAACCAAGGTACTGTCAGTAGTAATTTAATCCTCTTAGTGCATTATCTTTGGAAGCCAATTCCACCCTTCAGTGTTCTTTTAAACACTTTGAGTAAATGATGTCTTTGTGCAAAGACTTTAGTTATTTATTTTCATGAGAAACATTTCAACTTAAATCTCTTTGCATAATTTTTTGTGTTCATAAGCAGCTGCTTGAGTTATACATGTTAACTTAAAAGGCAATTATGAACAAGAAAGATATTCAAATTTAAATACACTGAGTTCTCCAAGCTGCTTTTGCAAAAACATACAAACTACTCTCATTTTAAAAACTAATATCCAAATGGAAAGAAATCAATAGCGCAAATCAATGGTTGGTTTTATCTTGATGTGATAACCTAGGAGAGCTTTAATATAAACCAAAACATGAATGATTTCTAAGCTGTCAATGTTCAGACCAAGTTGCTTATTTTCAAACCTGTTATTTGGTTTTATTCTCTTTAAGTTATTATTTTCAGTTAACAGAGTGAATTCATCACAATGTGGTCCTAATTATTTAATAGAGACTGACATATTCACTGTTTAGTTACAAAAATAATCAGAAAGATAGCTTTTTGTTTTGTTTTTTTAACAGAGTTTGTCTAGAAGCATGATGCTTTTAAACTAGCCCATAGTTGCTGTACTGAGTATGTTACACAAGGAATGTTGTTGGTGAAATAAACAAAATTACAGAGTAAAGAAAACTTGTTGTTATTTCTTATTCATGTTGCCTCTGTTGTTGTTGTTGTTTTTTTTTGAAAACGTATAACCGATGTCTACTTTCTTTCCCAAATTTTGTCATAGTTTTGATTAATTGATAACAGCTGTCTGATTTGTTATTCAAGAGTATTATTACAAACAGAATTGGACAACAGGAAGTCCTGTAAACAACCATGGCAGAGCCATGATTAACCATGGTCTATCCATGGTCTTGACATTAGGGTAATAAGCAATTATGGAATGAAGTTGAGCATGATATCAAAAACTCAATTAAATAATTGTTTTATTATGCATATTCTAGAGGTATTCAGCTATTTCGAGCTTCTCTTTGAGGTTTCAAAAGTCTTAGAGTACTAGACGGACCAAGGCCTTGGTAACTACGCAAACATTGACCTCTAAATGATAATCTTGATAAATGCAGAATAAGCTTCAGATATTGCATTTTATCATGTCAACTTCACACACTACTGTACAGTACCGCTCGAAGATAAGCGAACCACTCAACGCGTTCCCCACGCAGAGCCAACGCGTTGGCGTTTTGAACTTAACGCGTTTGCGTTTGCGTGTCCACGCAAACGCAAACGCGTTTAGCGAAGCTCATTAGTAGATCACACTTTAAAACCATTTTGCATAACAAGAGGCCCAAACAAAGCCGACTTTTTTGTCACATTCACCTTAGCATCTCCACGGCGTCTGTGTATTCCCGATAACAAGCGTCATCCAAAGATCTGTTCCTGAAAACCGAACTAAGAGTCAAGCGATTTCATTTTACAACCTTAAATTTGTGAATACTTTCGAAATTCTCGTTCACCTGTATCCCAAACTGTTTTTCGAAATTTTTCTCGAAATTCATCAAACACCGTAGCACTAACTTGTCGCTATTTAAGCAGTGAAATTCTGGGCGTCTTAAATATGGCCTTTTTCCCGCCCTGGAAAAAAAAAACGTAAAACTTAGTTAATCACGATCACACGCAAAATAAAAGTTCGCATAGAAATCATTGAAAGATACAAATTGCACTCGTAAAGAATAATTTGGTCACGCGCTAGGCAACACAGTTATGATGAAACTTGTGGCTCAAAATTCGTCAAAGGTCCGCCGATAAAATAGTAAAACCTCGGGAGTAAAACCTCTGGCCATCTTTCAGGTTACCAGCGAGTTTTTTTACAGGATCCTGGCGACGAGAAATCGAATAATTGAAAAGCGTGAACCTTCTCTTTAGCTTAGAGACTCAACTCAATTGTTGTTTTGGAAAGGGGCCGCACGTGGCCCAGACACTATGGTGATGCGTGTTTTGACTGTTTTCGCGAGCGAGCGTTGAATCGCAGGCTTCTTGTACGGGCCATTTCAGCTGTAGTTGTAATGTCGCTCGCTGTGATTTTTCGAGTGTCTGCGTTAGAACACTTTTTTCGTTCAAGTTAATTCTCAATTTGTTCTCACACACACAATACAGTCAGCTGAAAGCCGGGCGAAAAGCGGCAGAACGTAAACAAAAGCGTGACAAACTATAAATATGTTTTTTTCGCTAGCAGTTCACGAATAAAACTCGTGACTCGAATTTCGATCGATAGGCTTTAAATAATGAAACCTTTTGCCTTGGCTTGGGCTACTGGAGATTGTTTGACTTGATTAACGGGGATTGTTGAAAACCGCCTGATGTTTCCCTTGACGAAATCGTGATTGAAATTTTGGTTGCAGAAAGAATCGACTCGCGCGGCCCAGACATTCTGGCGATGAGCGTTTCGATTCTCGACTCAAGAAGCAGAGAGCGCATCAGTTCGACTGGGTTCATTTGTTAAGAGTTGCTCTGTAGTTTTCGAAAGCTTGCCTTAATTTTTTTTTCAGATATCTGTCGCAGAATACATTTTGTTCAAAACCGGCAAAAAGCAACAGAACGTAAACCTTGACCGACAAGTAAAATTATGCAAATTCAAAAAGGTTTTCAGTTGCGGATGAAGGCCGTCCTTTGAGTTGGTCAACAATGGATACAAAAGAAAGAAGGTTGGAGGTGGCAAAGTGAATATCAAAGGCGATACGGGTCGATGATCAACGCGTTATTTAACACGTTAGCTAACGCGTTAGCGAAAGAGCACTAACGCGTTGACTTCTTCGAGCCCACGCGTTGACAATGCGTTAGGTGGTTCGCTTATCTTCGAGCGGTACTGTATATTGATTGAATGCTCTTGACCAACCAGCTTTTTCATAGTAAGTCTTAAGTATAATAACCAAAATTATTGAATATGGAAGGGAAAGTTTTAGTTCTTTTCGCAAACACGAGACAACTGGCCAAATACTGGAATTAAAATTTTTTGGCTTGAAATGCACATTACAAGTATGATGTGGTTACTTATACATCTCACTGAGAAAGATTGTGAATGAATCACAAAGAACTGAGCTCAGATCTGTCTTTTCATTGGCAGAGGTTCCCTTATACCCCTCTCTAAAACTCAGTCACATAAAAATATTTGGCCTTTTCACACATCATGAATAATCTCAAAAATTGATCACACATGAATTGGTATCTGCCAGTTTTGCCCCATTTCATTTTTGACCCAGTAACTTAGCCCCCCATCAAAATCAAGTTTGACCTGCCATATGACTGATACATAATAAATAAATTCAAACATTAATACAAACATATATATCTGTGAAATATATAAAGCGAACCATCGATAAAATCCAAAGGTTATAAACTGATAAATCAGTGAACTTTGAAATTTAATCATTGAAAGGATGGCTAGACCGGAACTGAACCAGAGATCTAAAGGTTATAGACATAAATACTTTTAAAATAAAGTATTTAAATAAAGTATACTAAGTTATTGAAAGAAGCTTCTAGGAATAACACGAAGCTATCAGCTTATCATGTATTTGGTGGCTAAGATGTAGATTTCCTATGTCACAACAAAGTTTGCTTTGACAGCAATAATAGGTACCCACACGTCACTAGTTTTGTTCAAGAAGACCTTGAAGTCATTAAAACATGTAATCTTTCAATCATGCGGTTTAAGATCTCAAGAAACCTTATCATTTATTTAAAAATGCAGTTTCAAATCGAGTTCATTGAAGAATGTGCTTGCAAGAAGGTTTTTTGGACGGAGTCGAAAATGATACGGAGCGAAACTGGCATAAACTTGTAATAAAACCCGAAACATCAAAACGAAACCACCGAAACAAGTGAAACCACCGAAACGACGAAAACGAAACGAGATCACCGGACCAAAAATTAGCATGAAAAAAAAACAGTCAATGATAATAAAATGAATGCCATTCGTCACGTTTCAATTATGGTCTACTCCTGATCTAACTCACGGGAGGATCGTTCTCTCGATTGCCATGTTGTAGTGGTGTGTTTTGGTCCGGTGATTTCGTCTTCGTCTTTTCGGTGGTTTCGCTTGTTTCATTTCGGTCGTTTCGTCTCGCTGTTTCGGGTTTTAGCGAGGCTGCACTTTACAAGTTAGCTAAATTCGTATCTATATTGAACATAATTCTTACCTCTCGGTAAAGTAATAAACGAATCCGGCGAATTAGCAAAAATCAAACACAGATTGCAGACAATCTAACCACTGAGCTCGAAATAGACACTCCTTAATTCACGCAATTCGGTTACTTTCCTTCTCAAAATATTTCAAGTTTCCCAAACGTCACGTGACTAAGGGCTAATTTACATGGAGTTACCGTGCCGAAAGTGCACGACGCATAAATTAGGACAGATTATGCAATTGAAGCCATGTGGTTACTCAGTATTTGTCACGCAAAGTACGGCTTTGTCGACTTGCTTTCGCTGTAAACGCTGTCCTTCTGGTGATATACTTTGTTTAACGCTGAATTCTTGTCTAATCCGTAGGCTACCCATTTCACAAAAAGTCAAAACAGCCCACAAGACGCTTACATCCCCAAGTGCTGCATAAATCGAGTAATTTGGGTCTCCTGATTCTTACCCTGTTTATCTATTACTCAAGTAACGATATTTAAACTTAGGTAGCGACAATTTTTCTGACAGAACAAGGACAATAACAAGGTCCTATACTGAAAATATTATTTATTTTAACAAGTGGCTTTGTAATGTAATCGAAATAAGCTTTCAAGGGAGAGACAATACAAATATTAGGAAACATAACGTAGTAATATTCTCCAAAATTGACAAATGTTTGAATTGGTGAAGAATGTGATAACCAATAAAGAAACTACTTGCAAACCTAAAAGAACTCGACCGAAGATTTCGTTTTGCTCAATACAGAACGATGTCGAGATTCTGAGGACATTTCAATCCAACAGCAATTCAACAGCAATTCAACTCGTTCCCCTTATAGGACTGACTAGAGCTGTTTAGATATAATGAGAATCCCGTGAGTTGTTTGCGGGTGATCCTCTTCGCATATTTTTTGTCAAAAACGAGTAAGGAACTCATCAGGACGCCAGAAGAGTGCATGTAAGCTCCTCAATAATCTCCTGATATTAATTTCCTGCTTTATTGCAAGTGAAGTACCATCGCTAGGCATGGGACGTCATCATATCTTATCGTTCGAGGAGTTGTTTCCACAAATCTCTTCATTTGATATGATATTTGAATCTACCCCACACTGGATGTCTCAATTTTGGAAGCAGCTCATTCCATTTTTTCGAAAAAAACTGTGTTTGACGCCTTGTCCCCACGTACTGCTTTACCCATAACTATATCATTGTCACAGCTTTCCCATTCCACGAAGAGAAACTTTATCGCTTCGTCAGCGAGTTCGTCCAAATATATCTGTGAAAGGAAAGTTATCGATTTAACCGAAAGTTCGATTTTTTTCTATGTAGCGCACACATATCCCTACCGCTCTTTTGTTGTGTTTAAGCAAAGAAAAAGGCTTTTTTAATTTTTTTTATTATTCTGCAGAAACAGTGACTTTCTTTTCTTACGGAAAAATAGAAACATCTTTTGTTTTTGTGAACTCGCTATAAAAAAAGGAAAGCCTAAGAATCAATAAATTAAGTATTAGTAGAGCTACTAATCACCATTCCGTCGGCAACAGATGGATCTTCGCCATTTAACCAGGCCGAACTTTGAGTTAAACCGATCTGGAAGCCATCTCTGCTCCGGTGAAACGGTACCATCCTCGGACGATATAGTCGTCACATTCCCACCCTGCTCCGTAATTAATGTTTCTGTCAGCACTGTCCAGAACTTTGTAGTCCGCACACTCTGATTTGAGAAATGAAGAAAAGAGACAAAGCTTAATAACGTTTGGGCATGCCTCCAGCTCGCTGGTGAATCCATAGCAACCGTGGATGCTTGCCAAAATGACGACAATTAAAAATCTCCGATATGTTGTGGTAAACACTCATCAGTTGGATCTCTTTTAAGCAGACGATTATCTCTTAGCACCGACCAGCACAAATTTCCACACAATGGAAGCGCAATCAGCTCAAACTGGTATTGCTGTGAGAAAAGGGAAGTGATAAAATAAGGTGTTCACAGAGTATTTTGACCGCCAATTAAAAACGGTCTGTGGGGAAACTTTTAAGCTTGCATTGTCTACTTGTTTTCACTGGGACAGATCAGCGAACCGCGCCGCTGTTCAATTTATTCAAGATGATGTTATGGTTTCACAACCAGGCTTGCGCAAGTTCGTGACGAAAGGAAAAATTCTTCAGCACTATCACAAAAATATACATGTTTGTCAGCGGTCTTGACCCATAACAATTATGCCTAAGTGGAGGAAAAGGAGCTGCAAAGAAAGTGAAAGTTGTCCAGCATTAATTGAGCATCATTTTGTTGGTAAGGAAAGCAGGTGCCTCTGTGTTGGTGTGTAACTCATAAATGATTTTAGTGTAGGGGAAGGAGATGAGTGTTGATTGACAAAGAAAGACAAAGAACCAACAACGCTAAATTAATTCACGGAAGACGAAAGCAATTGCAGTTCATGTTTCATAGATAATAATCTGAAGAGGAACAAATTTTCTCGGAGTTAACGTGAAGGTAGAGTTTAAAGACTTTGAAATAACTACCAGTAAATGATAGAAATAGGAAATTAAAAAACAAACAAACAAACGAGGAACAAACAAAAATCAGGGACCAAAACTAAAAAAAAATCTAGAAAAAATAAACTAAAAAGAACGAAAACTAGGACAAAAACAAAAAGACGAAAACTAGGTAACAATAAAACAAAAGAGGACAAAGCTAAAGTGAATGTATGACCGAAATCCACGAGAAAAATTATATGGGCTCAACTTATAACAAAATTCGATTCCCGAGGCTTCGATTCATTTGCGACCTTCAGATGAGGACTCGCCGAAGTCCTTTGAGGATTCGTTAGAGTATATCAGTGATGTACTTTGAGCCACTGGAGTAGGTGATGGCGATGGCTTTTTCAGTTCTGCAAGCTCTTCCTTCACAGCGTGGAGTCGCTTTGTCAGGAGGTCGATCACTGAGCAAACTAAAATACACTACCATAGTACGAGTAAATAAAAGTGAAACCTTGAGTAAAATTTTCTTTGTACTGAGATGTCAAATTAACGACTAATTCAAGATGTTATTGGTTTCTTTGTTTCCTTTCCTTTAACTTTACGCATCGGACAAACAGGGGGGAGGGGAGGGGAGGCGGTCGAAACAATACCCCCTCCTTCGGATTTTTTGGTTATTTAAACTTATCAGGAAGATTTTATCTGGCGATTGTTCACATCAGTATTTCTTGTGAACTTTGTGAAAATCGGCTTAAAGATAGAGCAGAAATTTATTGACAAGTGAGATGTGGTTTAAGGATTGATATGAGCCACCAAACAAAACATTAAAATTTCATTTTGGAAAGGGAAGTACAGTATACCTATCATTTATATTCTAAGTCTTATTTTCTGTTTTCCTGTCAAGTTCAAAAGCTGTTGTTTGATTGACAAGCCAAAAAGTATTGTGAAAAAATGGAAAGACACCTCCATGTTGGATGACGTCACAGGCCTCGGCAGACTCTTCTCAGTATGCATCCCATGATATTAACATCATGTTGCAGATGAACTGAATCATAGAATGAATAATTTATTCATAAAAAACTCTCCTTTACTTTTACCGGATGCGAACTTTAAAGTGAAAGTTGAAGAAAACCTGCTGGGTTATTTTCTTTTATTGGTGAAGAGTTAAAGAATTCTTTTTATACAAAGACGCCTACAAAGTTTCAGAGACAAAAAGGGAATAATGAGTGAGAAAATTGTGATAAGTGACCGTTTTACATCAAATCAGCTATATCGCGGAGCCCATTTTTGTCATAAAAAATCTACGTCCAACCGACAGATGAATTTAAAAAATTGTAAAAATGCACTTCCGTATAAAAGCTTTTGATAACAAAAACTTAATTGCGGGAAGTGGGAACTACATGCCATATAAAGGTATAAAGGAATCAAATATAGTGAAATTATAGTCAATGATAATATTATTTTGGTTGGGGAAGTCTTGGAGTATCGTCTGCATCGTTTACTTTAACACTGTACCGCGCTTTAATAAGTACAGTACACTTCACAAGACAATGTCTGTGGTGGATATGAAAATCTGGGTAAATGTATTTCTTTTTTTATATGTGTTGATAAACGCGGGAAGATGAAAGCCGCTGCAGATGTTACGAATTGAAGATAAACTTGTAGGCCGAGTGGTTACTCTGTAAAGACAACGTGTATGTCTTAAATCCAAAAATAGACCTCGGATGATATTTTAAACAGTTTAAACGCACATAGTTGTTGAAGAGGAAGCTTTAACAAAATACCCCAGTTGGTGTAACTACATGATTAGTCAATCAAATATGGAAGAGAAAAAATATGAATGCTCTAAGGAATGTGCAAAGCCTTTGGTTTGTTCCGTCGTACTTTGTACGATCGTCGCTCAATGATACCAGGCTCACTTTGTATTAACACTTATCTCACTTTGTAATAACGCTTACCGCACTTTTTAAGCAACACTCGTCACCCTTATTGATTAAAAAGCTGTCTGTTGTGTTGTCTCGAACGAAAAAAAATACCTTGACCGTGCCTTTTCAAAAACAACTTTAGCGACGACTTCATCCGACGAAACAATCACCGACTTACCAGAACTACCGAAAGAAACGACACCCCAACTCCTACACTTACAGCGACTATACCATACATGAAGAGCATGTCTGATAACATTACGCGCATCCTACAACCCTTTCAATATCCACGTCGTCCACAAACCCAACACTACAGTACGCCAGTTACCAACAAACGTCAAGGACAAGGACGAACCGAAGAATAGACAGGGAGCAGTTTATAAGATCAATTACTCTGACTGCCAAGCCCCATACATCGGAGAGACTGGCAGAAACAAAGAGTCCAAATAGTTCGTGTTTGAAGAAACTACATGAACAAGCAGTCTGTTGATTTCCAGTGCCTCTCGATTTATCCTGGAGCTTCCAGCTGAGACTTGTAGAGAATTTTCAAACAAGTGAAGGTGGACAGGCGTTGAACGGCTTTATTCTATCAGATCTGGAGAGAATATACTCGCTTACACTGACATGAAAAACGTAAGGTATAAAAAAACGTGTATAATATAAAGGGCAATATCTTAGACAATGGCTCCGACAAGCCGAAGTACAAAGATAATAGGGTTAGCTGCAAAAATAATTGAGATCGTTGCAAAGATCTGGCCGCGGCAAGAAAGCGTTATTTCCAGAAATAGGAGGAAGGGCGGAGTTTGCGCTAGATGGCCCAGACGAGCTTAGTGACATCAGATTCCAACGTCGTGACGAGTCCTTCATAAATTCAACAGACGGGTAAACAAAGTCAGGTTGAAAAGTTTTGTGCCACACAAGCATTTCACACCAAGTTTACTGTAATCGGGGCAATCATTCGATGAACCATGCCTTTCGAAAAAGTTTTTCATCTGCCACAACGTTCTTTCAGTTTTGTTTCGGTTTTGCTTCAGGACAAATCTTGCTGTGACAAGAATAAATTTCGTAGCTAATTGACAACTGACAAAACTTTAAAAAATTAACCATTCATAAGATTTTTCTTTCTTAAGTTTCCTATATTTTGTGTGTCGCAGAATTTTTCCAATCTGTTTCAGAAAGCTATACGGTATATTGCAGACAAGATGAAGTGAAAATTTATCTGAAATAATAAGCTCAGAGGGGAAAGATTTCAGAAGAATCTAGGGCTTTCGAAGCCTCTTGCGGATTGCAAAACAGAGGTGAGATTTTATTCGATACATTTTGTTCACTACGCGTAAGTAGCACGTGTAGTTAACACAAGTAAGTACGTTTTAACAGTCAGGTTCAAGATTGTACAAGACTTGGTTAAGAAATGCAAGTACATTTAGCTGCTAGGGGTTGTAGCAAGGGACTGTTCCAGTTTATACCCACATTTCTTTTTCTGAGCATTGCTCGTATTAATCTTATTAACCGTGACAAATTACTTAACAGGAAAGTTATTTGAAACCCAGAATAAAAAAGAATTGATATCGAAGGTACGTGAGGTTCGGTTTGTTTATTTTTGATAGAGCTTACATAGTGCTAAGGAGTTAGATATATTTTTCTCGCGGCAAATAACGATTACTTGTAGTTGCTGCTTAAAATGAATTTTTCAGGACAAACTTATCTTCAGGTTTCTTTTGTTATTAATTTTTGTCTTGTTTTGCTTTGTTTTGTTTCGATTTACCTTCCAGCATAATGCAACTTATGATTAGATTAATTAGGCGTAGAAAGGATTCTTTGGTTCACCACTGAAAGGAAATAAACAAAATTTTAATGAAAGACATATTTCTTTTTGATGACAACTTATCAAATGATCACAGTGTGATAAAGGTGTGATAAAAGTATCGTTAAAGATCAGCCACATGTCAGCTGTTAAAGCACTATGGTGGTGTGATCTCTGGGAAGATTTCTTTGCCGCTGCACTTTAGGATTACAGAGAGTAACTTAAATTTTCAATAAGTGTCTTCTTCTGAGTTTCAAATTTGGCAAAGGGTACAATTTTGCCTCCTAATATGACTTACTTAAAGAAAAGGAGGAAGTTATAAGATTTAAATGAAAAGTACTGTTGCTGCCAAAATTCACATTGACAATTTGTGTGCATTTTCTTTCCGTGGCATTTTCATCAAGTTCTTTTGTTTTCAAGTCTGTTACTTTCTTTGATTTTCTGTTCCTTTTTTTTTTGCTCAATTTACCTATGTTTATATCATTCATATAAGTTCTTTACTGTAAATTTTATTCATTGTGATTTGTAGTTCAACTTTGCTGGATTATTTTTGTTCTCTATTGTCTTTAACCAGGATCTTGTAAAACATTTGTTTGTGTCTTTTGTTCTCCTTTATTTGTTTTCTTGTTTGTTTATTTCTCAAGTAACATATTATTTGTAATTTTATTTTAAGCAACTGCTTCGATTATTCACTTTGCTTTGATTCTTCACATCTTTTGTTTTTTTTGGAAGGATATTAATCCTTTAACTCTTAAGATCTCATTAGTAATTCTCCTTGCTGTCTGCCATACATGCCTTGTGATGTTAATTTGGAGAATTTGGTATTGGATCAACTAACAATCCCCTAATTAATATTTTTCTTTATTCTCATTACTTGTCTGCTTGATATTGTAATGACATTGTAAGGAGAAATTCTGTCTTGGTCACTCATGGGAGATAAAAGGTTAAAGAGCATGTTTTTTTTTGTACCATTTCAGGTCATTTTGGCCATTACAAGCACCTCTGAGACTGTAATTCCTATCAACCACAAAATTTACATTTTTTTTATCTTTTTTTTTTTTTTTATCTTTTTAAACCAATGTTGCTGTTGTTTTCTTCAGCTTATCAACATTTTCTGAGCAAGTCTCTGACATCTCACAGTTCCCCTCTCTAATTCTCCCCTTCACCTGCATACCTGTTTCTTGATATGTACTGATCATAAGATATTGCCCTCTTAATCTGTCCAGAGGTGGTGTTTAATTTTGGTTGCCTTTAATTCTGATTTTCTTTTGGTCAGTATATAATGGGTGACAACCCAATCAGTAGCCTTTGACAAGTCATGCCTTTTGTTGGAGAAAGAATTCTTATGCCAGAGAGGTTTATATTATAAATTATATTACAGCTTCCCTTGTTCTGTGCCAAATGGTGGCTATTATGTTTATCATCCTTTTTTTACTTTTCAGCACATGGGAAAAATGTTTGTGAACAGCTTACTGTTTATGGTGTGGAAGGTTCACTTTTCAGTGTTCTCTGAAATGATTTTATAAACAAAAGAAACATGTTCCTTTTTCTATAACAACAACACAATGCTTTTCATCTTGAATTAAATCTTAGACACAGAGTTCTCAATATTGGATGTAAGGTTTGAAAATTGGGGAGTACTCCTTGAGGTATATCCTTGGATATCACCCAGTTTTAGCTGGAGGATATTCTGTCATGTGATGGGTTTAGACCGAGTGCCCACTTGTTGGATTATAATAGAATTTATTGATCATGTGTAATTTATTATAAAAGTAAGGTAGCTGATATATTTTAAGCATAATGTGTGGGGTCGTAATTAAGATTGTAAAATAAGAAGAAGAAGGAAAAAAAACAGAGAGAAACAAAGAAAGAAACTAACTTAGGCCACTGCAAAATACAGGAAAGGAAGTTGCTATTTTTCTCTCTGATTGGTTGATAAGATATTGTTAATATTTTAAGCCAATCACAGACCAAGGTAATAGAAAAGCTTAAAAATTTTAGATTGTTTTTAGGCTCAACCAAGTTATAATTAACACTGTATATGATGAGTAAAAGATCATTATAGTGTTCAAATCTTTCCCAAATTGTCTCCTCTGAACCAAATACCTGAAATCTTGATCGTTTTACTTCCAAGATCTGATAGGTGACTCACTCAACAAAAACCTTACACAATTTGTTTAAAGTATTTCTAAGAATATGCCTGAGATTGTTTTAATGCTCAACCAAACACTTTTCATCAAGTTGTTTTAGATATCTTAATTATTTTCCTAATGGTTATATATTTTTTTTCAGGCCCTTCTTTAAGGAAACTGTGAGTCTCAGAAAGACAACATTAGCAAGCATGCCTGTGATGAGGAGGTTTGAGCACTTAAAGCCTGTATAAGACAAGCAGTAAGTTTTCTGTCAGACTGATCAGGTTCTTGTTTCTTTCTATGTTTAATCAACTTGAATATCACTAGTGTTCGATTTTAAACAACAAACTTTAATTATATGATCAGGTAGTCAAATGGGGGCACAAAAGTGTCCTTTCAGGGAGTGGGCTGATAACAAAAGAAAGCTTTGACTTTTTCATGCAATGCATTCTTTGCCATACTTTTCCAGAGTTTGTTTCAGTTTGAACTTTGTTCAAACTTTGTTAAACACTGCTCAAGTAGTGTTCAATACTGCGAGGATTGCTTTCATATTCACATCTTTATCCACAGTTCAAATATATGACTTTCATATATTCACAGTCATTTATAAGCAGTTAATGAATGGCTTCAAGGGATGCGGTGAATTTCCTTTTCCCAAGACTCAAATATTATTTGAACTGAAGCCAAAGGGAACAATGAGGGTCAAATAAAAAATGGCTTTTGAGTTGGGAGGTATGTCATCATGATTTTAAACAATTGCAAAATAATTTTTAGTATTTACATACTTAAACATGTACTCTCAAACTAACTCTTATACTCTCAAATTAGTTAGCTTTAATCAGAATTAATCAGGTTCATCCTTTTATCAGTGGGTACTGTCCTACAGTGAGAGAGGGATGGGGTTTAACTTTTCATTCTCAAATTGTTGGTGTCCTTTTTTAATAATTTTCCTCCTGATTTTAATTAACAGTCATCAGCAAAAATTAGGGACTCAAGATAAATAAGAGACTACAGTAAGTCACTCAGACATAGGACTGCTGTGCTTTTTCTTCATAAATTCAAATACTGCTTACCTAAAATAATGTAATAATATTCATTATATACTGAAACAGAATGTGTCATTCTTGATTAGTCTATTGTGAATGAAAATAACTTATCAAGTGCAATACAGGATTTCCATACTACACACTGGCTTGAAATTAAATCTTTTAACCCTTTCACTTCCAAGATCTGATTGTTAATTCTCCCCTCTAGCTGCTACACATTTCCTCTTAAATAAGTTACAAGAATTTGGTGTTAAATCAAGAAAACAACCTCTACCTGATAAGTTTAAGTATTCTCCTTACCTCTTTGCTAGATGATGAATGGATTTTATAGGGAGAAGTTACATGTCAATCACTTCTGGGAGTTAAAGGGTTAAAGATAACTAAACAACAATAAACTTTTTAGTAGTTAAAAGAAAACATTAAAATTTGATGTGTCCATCCTCCTCTGCATTCTAATGAATGGTTAAATCAAGCAATATAATTATCTTAAGGCATTTTCCATCTGGTTGAAAATGTTTTGAGAAATGTGCACCAGGAATGTACAAAGAGCAGTATTTGTATGAGGTTTTGTTTGGAACATATCATACATAAAAACATATTAAACAGCTCTTACATTTCATAATTTATGGTTACTCATTAGATGTTTTGAAAGTTTTCCAAAAAGCACTCCAATGGTTAGTTCATTTACCAAAGCTTTGTAAACATCACTGATGCCTTTTAATTAAGAGATTTACTTGAGCTCATGAGATTTCCCTCACAAATACATGTGTGATTAAATTAGATTCACAGAATTGATTGATAGAAAAAAAAATTAAATTCATCATATTTGGAAGATGATGCTCATGTAACTGTCATGCTGTTACATACATTTCCCATCTGCTCCCCTGTGCTCACATATGCCAATTCCTGCAAGAACACTCTGTCAGCCAAGGAAATCATAGAAGCACAATGATATTCTAGAATCCTTAATCTATACACATGCATTCCCTATTGTCTGTTTTTAACCCTATACACTCTAACATCAATATATATACATATTCTCCATACTTTTCTCTGTGTTCTGACAAGGAGAGTTTGCTCAACAATCAAGAGCTTTTTTGTTAGTGATCATTTCCTCTATTCTCATGACCGTAATGTTTAATTTAAGGATGATATTTCAAGGCGAAATTAGCTCCTTATCACTATTTGGGGTTTGAGGATTAGAGAAAGTTAATTTTCAAATTATAGAAAACCTGGTGTGCCTGGCCTTTTTGTTTACTCTGGGACAGGGTGTTAGTAAAACAGGGATTCTCATCTTTAAAAGATTTATCATGTACTTAATTTTTATATCTCTGAAGTTTACCCTCTTGTTTGATGATGTACTTTTGTTGCAGGCAAAGAAAGCCAAAGTGTAGAGACTGTTACAGCAAAGTCTAGAAACAGAAGACGTCACAGGGAACCCACTCACTTATTGTCTGGGATAAAAAGTGTTGTGAGGAGACATTTAGGCTTGTGGAAACTTAAAAAGATTGTAATGGAAGTCCCTGTGCCCATTTTGAATGCTGTGATTATTATGGTTTTTTACTTTGTTGTTTTTTCAGGTTCTTGGAAAAGCTAACATCATGGTAGAGTTGATGAATTAAAAGCAAATTATGGCTAATGTAAACTTTGTTAGACTTACTCATACTGAGTAAAAAGCTTATTTTAAAATGGTGACCATTCTATGATTCCATTTTTAGTCACCCCACATATGGTAATGTCATTTCCTTTGTACACTTCCAGATTTTAAAAAGTGAGATTTTATTTTAAAACTGAAATAGAAGCCAGTGTGCTGGGTAGTGTAACCCATGAGATTACAGGGTATATGATCATGAAAAAGTCAAATTTTATCGTTTGGTGTCTTGTTATTGAACTTTTAATTGAACTGTTAAAGGCCCATCTACCTTTGAACAAAACAGCAACAACGAAAACAAACAATTAGAAGCCCACCCCCCCAACCCCACCCTCCGGGTATAAGCCCTCCTCTCGCTTTACTTGTTTGGGTAGCGGGGCTGATGTTGGCCTTAATTTTTGTTACGCTCTCGGTTAATGGAAATGAGCGAAAGAGCTGCTTTGGAATCAGAAAATCGTGACCACCGACTTGAACTCGCCCGGTCCTTCGCTTGACTCTAATCCACTGACTGAGAGTCTCAAACAGGTTTCCTTTTTGAGGAAAATTTGTTCGTTTAACTTATCTTCGGACAATCATGAAAATGACAACGATCTCACCAAGTTAAACGCAAGGAATCAAATTTACCTTCTGAACAGATATAGGAATCAGAGGAATGTAACTGTAAAGTAAGGCAAAGACTTCAGCACGTGATCGCGTGACAGTAAGGAAATTTGATTTCTGTTGTCGAGAACGTGATTATTTTAATTAAGCGAATGTCACGATTACATATCCAAAGATCATTCGTCTTTCGCTTCTCGACTTGTTGAATTCCTCGTTTGTAAAAGTGCTCTACAGCTATCTACAAATCATTTAGTTTTACGCCTCAGCCGAAAAAAGAAGGGAACTTTCGCTGTGGGTGAATTTTCCTAAGAAATTCGATCGGTTGAATCCTTACCTCTGTGTTCCAGGTTAGACTACGTGCAGCAGTTTAGAAGATATTTTGATGACAGTCGTTGTTTGCAGTACCCTCAATAGCAGAGATGCCCCGAACAACCTGCTTCAGTATATCAATCATCGTGTATACAGTGGTATGTAATTCTAATAAATACCAAAAGCGAAGCAAGATCAATCTTAATCGAGTCTGAAGATAGCGTAAGGGCTCAGGATGTTGGATAAACATTCGAGCGCGAGGTCGGTACCTTTCGTTTTCTCAAAAATTTCGGTGAGAAACATCAGAGCGCTTAAACTATTGTCAAAACCTTGGGAAAGAGACGTACTCGTGAAAAATTTGGCCCGGGAGCTCGGTATGCTTGCATGTCAAACATTTTCAGAACAAACTAAGCGTGTCGTGAACCCAAGGAAGCAAGGTGTGTTATGTTGATGAAGAGGTAATATTTCCGTAGGTTCCTTGTCTTCATAAATCTATCGCTTTTACCTCTCTCTGATCAGCTGTTAATCATGTCTAACGCAGGTAAGTGTGTTTCACATTGTGAAGACGTTCGTAATTTCATTTGATCGTTTCAGATAGAGTGCAGGAATTTAAGTCAATCTTCTTGACATGTACGTTTTCTATGCGTGTTGAACGGAGTGCGAGAGCAGTAGTTAGTTTTGATGACTGGAGGGTGTTGCGAGGTTTTTTGAAATCGCCGAGACCAACTCTTTTGAGAGAACAACTCAAATAAGCTCAGATATAGGGCAAACCGAGACTCTGAAGATTCGCGTCGTGGTTTCCTACGCTTATCTCGTGTTCTCCCAACCTCCCGCGTGTTTACATCAGGATATGTAAACACGGAAACCATTTTACTTTTCTTCAATATATCAGCCATTTGTTACAAGAAATAAAATTTTAATTACAGGGCCTTATTATTGTTCTTATTCTGTTGAAAAAATTGTTGGAAACTCTAATTAAATCTAAGATTTTAAAGTTCACATTGGAAAAATCGACGGAAGAAAGCTCTAGTTCTCCAATTTGTATCAATAGTCTCTGTGCCTATGAAGTCACTCTGTGAGGCCGGGCTCTTTACAAGGGCCGATCAAAGTGACTGTAGGGGGCCTGCCACTCTAACCTGCAAACACAATAATCAGAACACTGTGGTTAAACGACAAGGGAGAACAATAGAGTGCATAAATTGCGTTTGATTATTGAGATGGGAGCCAGCGATGAAGAATGAAATATGAAAACAATAAACTTCATGATGTGTGTTAAAGGAGAAAAGCACTAGATCGAACAAAAAACAGGGTGACTGTTGTCAACTCGACATTAAAAAGAATATTAAGGATCCTAACTGACAAATATGGATCAATATCAGTATATGGGCGACTGCCCACCTGCCCCTCCCACAAATATCACTGTAAAACTGAAATTTCAGTTAATTGGAGTAAAGTAATGAGCTGTACCTTGCACGGGTTGAAGGCTGACATAGTGCACCTCATGAATATGTCCCAGCACAAGAGGTTTGCTTTCGTCAACTGAAAAATGTGGCGTAATGATTACATCATGGCTATGGGATAGACTGCTGACCACACGAATGCACGTTTCAAAGCAGTTTGCTGCAGCACACAGAATCACGTGATCACCCCAAGCGCCATCTTGTTCCATGTGTACTAGGTATTCAGTCCATGTTTGATGTCCATGGACAAAGTCAAACAGATCTGTTCCATCCGGCTGTAAGAAAGATCAGTTAAAGAAGGAAATTTAAAAGGATTGTTGATGGGAACTTGAGCGCGTGGAGTACGAATCAGGGAGTAATTTTATCAGAATGGTACGAGACGAACTTAAATTGGTAATGTACTGTATGGTAACAAGTTTTCTGCTTTGCAAACAGCAGGAAAACAACAAGAAAGATCCATCATTAAGAGAATGACTATAATTCTGTCCTCTGATGGAGGTTTAAAAGAAATTCTTCTGAAACTGAAATATTCAAATAACTAAAACCGTGGTGGCCTGCTTCTCCGGACACCACATTAAGTAACATATGAATTTAATTGTCACCAACGTCACTGTGTGGCTTCTTAATAATAAAGTTAAATATCTCAAGTTCCCCTTTCCACCAGGGTCACAAGCTGGTTTCATAGCTCCTGAAAAAAAGACCATTATTCCATACAGAAGGAGTAACAATACTCCTAGTCACTTCACGCTGTGAACACTGGAATAGGTTCTGGTGGTGTTGGCCAAGTGGCCCGTATTATCACTTAACCTTTATCATACTTAAACAATAACATCACGTGACATACTCTGTTAAACATACTAACATCAACTTACAAGTTTTGGGTTACTCCTGAGGTACTGAACCAAGGTTTGTCTTAATTTGCCATGTGAGATTTTGATTCCCTTAACAATTACCAGTTGTTCGGACAAGGCATAGAACATGCAATTTCCTGATCCTTGATTATCAGATATTCTGAAGCCCCTGTCTGATGCAATATTTTGAAGCCCCAATGATAGATTTGTTCTGCTCTTGAATTTGCTTGCATCCAGTTGCATCTGCTGAAGTTCCTGGATGATTCGGTCAAGAGAACCTAGAAAACACAAGGTTTTTATTAATCTAACTGCAGTTAAAAAGCGAAAGAATCGTCTGCTGGAAATTAACAATTCTCAATCTAGTGACAGAAACTTTTAGGGTAAAAAGGAGAAGACCACCAGACTTCCGCTGTTTTGTCCAACAACTTAGCCTTAAGAAGGAAGCTGTAGCTGTCAATTGCGTTACTGTTTAAGTTCGATTTCTGCCCGTGAATGAATACACAAATAATCAAGAGAGAAGAAGCAGAGAAGAAAAATTAACGACGAGGTCTACACTCTGACATATCTGTGTAACTAGAAAAATAAATCCTGGAAAAAAAGAACGGGCTTGAAAAATACACTGATGTATTCCCTCTACCGTATGAATATGTGATTACTTCAACACTATTTCGAAAGACAATGTATCGAGAATACAACATAAACTGATTTTGATAAGAACAGTAAGAGCTTCCCATGTCGCCTTGTTTCTGGCCTGGTTTCAGACAATTTCTGGTAGTTTCCAACTGGATGAAGACTTCAAATGAGTCAAAGAAATAAATAAAACTAAGCCGTCCGTCCGGATCAGGAGGTAAAAGAAAATCAAATTTGTTTTTACACGTCTTACGTTTGTGACTCAAGAATGCAGGGGTATAAGTAAAAACATGTCTCAGAAGTAAACAGCATCGTGCTAAGTTTTTACTTTTACTCACTTGGAGTCAGTAATGATTCAACTGTTCGTTGATTGGTTGACGTGTCAATAACGTCGACCTGCTGAGCTCTGAAACTTGTGTCTCGTCTTTTAGAAGCTAAAAAGATGGAAAGAAGCTTTTATTTTAATAACACAGTAAACAGTATGAGGATAAAACGATTGATTACTACTCATGTTCAACATCTCTTTTTATATGAAGGGTTCATGCTTTCCGTCACAGTTAATAAGAGACCGAAAGCCGAGTAGCCCCCTAAAATACTTTTTGAAGGAAATTCAAAACATTCTAACCATGAACTATGTCCCACATCTTCTCCACAAGACTGTCACACTGCTCCTCCCAGCTAAACTTCTCTTCATATGAACTCCTTAGTAGTTGAATGTCTTGAAGTCGATCTGATCTTTCCTTCTGTCGGACAGCAGCAATTGCCTTTGCCCACTCCTCAGGGTCCTCAGACTCCACCACGAATGATTTGCCTGATGGTACAGTGTACAGTGCTTCACCAAATCCTGAGTTTCCACTGACAAGAATGGGAAGACCAGCAGACAACGCTTCTAAGGCTGTCAAACCAAACCCCTCAGTTCTGGAGGGCATAATGCAGATGTCAACTTCACAAAATAATTTTTTCAATCCCTCTTTTTTTTGCACGAACTTCCTCACGATCAGCTGCTTTTTATCAATTCCACTCTTTAGTAGATTCTTTGCAACCTCATCCTGTTTACCGTCAGGTGCACCCACGAAAATCAGATGGTACGACCTGTCTTTCAGTTCAACTATTGCTCTAGCAGAGATATCGTAGCCCTTCAAGCTGAAGTCCTCTGGGTCACCCCGGCCAAACGTTAGAACCTTAAAGATGTCCACGTCAACTGCAGCTTGTTTTACGTCTGAAAACTCTTTGAACGTGCTTGGCGTCAGTTGAATTATATCTTGGTGCTTCTCGCATGAGCGCAGGTAAGAAGAGTAAGCCTTCGTCAACTTTGGTCCAACTGCTACCACAGCATCTGCTAACTGACACAACTCCACTTCAGTTGTACTCTTATCATCACCTTTGGAAATGGCCATGGGATAGTTTTTGTACATTCCTAGTTCTTCGGGTGCAGTGTGCACCACCTGAATCCACTTGCAACTGTGAGACTTTCTGATAACTTGGGCTTGCTTACCAAGCTTTCCACCATGACCCAGCACAAAGTCAATGACAAGGTCTCTTGGTGGGAAACTCAACCATTCAAGAGGATCACTGAAGCCTGCAAGTTTCTCGGCTTCCTGGATGGAAACATTGTGACTTGATGCCATCCTCTTCTCTTCTTCAGAACAGGCAGACTGTGGGACAAGGAGAGTGACGTCCAGTTCAGAGTGTTTGGCCAACAGAATGGCAAGCTGTCTGTTGATGGTGGACAAGCCTCCCATTGACGAACTCCACTCACTGCCAAGGAGAGTTACCTTCAATGCTGTGGTAGACTTCTTTGGATTGATTTCACTTGCTTCATCATGTGATCTAGCAGCTACATTTGCAGAGGAGAAATCCTGAAGAAAAAAGGTCATATAGGATTATGACAATTACATTTAAAAAAAACTTGAGGTGCGGTCATATAAAAATTTTATTGATCAACACTTTACCAAGGAAAAACAAAAGAGTACAAAATTCAAAAATAATTTCATCTCGTTAGAAATTTTCTGACTTGTATTTAAAACTTAAGATAACTTATTAGGGCTCCCTTTCTCAACACTGATAACAGTCCAATGGAAATTCACATCAAGTAAATTAGGGGAGCAAAGCAAAGATGAAACTGAGGACAGAAATCTTTTTGTGAAAAATCACCATAGTCAATTATACCTGGCTTTTTTTCAAGAACCATTTCTTTAATCCACAAACTGGTGCTACCTTATTGCAAGGTTTTCGCTTACAGATGTCTGGTCGACCTTCATTTGCATCAATGAGGTGGAAGCAGTCCTTGTGTGTACAAGTGGTTTTCACTTGGTCTGAGCATGCACGACGTGTTTCTTCTGCCCCCTGATGACAGTAAGGACATGCAACACACAGCCTATACTTCATTCCTCTCAGGTATGGCATTTCTTGTGACAAATTCTTTAGGGTGTCTTCAAGAAATTCACGAACAAGAGTCGCTAGTTCGACGGAGTTCTGTCCTTCAACCTGATCACTTTGTGCTTTTCTTTGTCTCAAGGTTAACTTCACAAATCCTGTTTTGCATATGAGGACAAAATCATGAACATCTTTCCCAATAATGAACCATGCTCCATTTTGATACAGGGTGGGTTGATGCGTGGCCCATGTCTCTGAACACCAACGAATGCATCGGGAGACAAGCTGCAAGAAAAGACCATGAGGGACAAAGCCATGGACAAAGAGGAGATACAATGGACAAGGGTCAGTTAATGATAATTCCATGTTACAGAGTTCTATAGGCGATGACTTCAACTGAGCTGGTACAAAGTACTTCTTGTCAGTTGGGGAAGCTGAGAACTTGGCGATCAAACCAAATCGCTCCATCATGTCAAGGATGTCTGCCTTAATGATTCCTCCCGTAATAAAGCTGGAGAACACATGATCAACATGTTCCATGCTAAGGATGCCACTTGCTTCAAGTTCATGCCAGTACTTAGCAAATAAAGGAGTCTACAAAATATATAAATGACAGCAATTCCAGATTAGAGAAGTCCACTACATGTTCCTTTTTGAATTTTTTCCACGAATTTGTACAGGAACTAGAAAAAATTTATTTCAATCAATGTACCGAAATGGTCAGAAATTACACTCATAATGTGCAATTTTGTATCTTGGGCTGCTCAGAGATGATTATCAGTTGTTATTCACCACCGCAGAAGCCAATTAGCACATGCAAAAAGAACTATTCACTTGTGTGAATACAGTAATTGTGAGCGGTAGCGAGTCAATGCAAGTCTGTTGTAAAGTAAAAAGGCTCAATCAATTTATGGCCTAAAAAGCTGCAAAAGGTACATGAAATAACTTAAGGTCAGCAGTTGTAAAGATCAGAGTCACAGCTGTTGCATTAGTTGCCTATTTATTAAAAAAGGAAGTGTCACTCTCATTTTCTGTTGGTCTAAATTAATGAACATTTTCCATGTAAGGCCTTTCTAAAATGAACTTTTTTTCCTACCTGTTTATTGAAAGGTGGAATGGTTATCAGCTGTTTGAACAGATCAATCAACCACTGAGCCTTCAGTACAACTGTACTGCGGTGCTTGATTATCATCCCAAGACCATGGTAAAAACTGATCATAGACTCAAACTCTTTTGCATCTTTCATGAAACAATGTTTCCTTGCATAGAGCTCAAGTTGTTGCAGGTTTCTGTGATAAATCTGTTCAGCCACCAAAGCTTCAATCACCTTTTCAAACAAAAACCATCTAGAAGGAAACAGAATACTTGAAATATATATTAAGGGTTTAAAATTGGATATTGACTTCAGTCAGACATTTACTTATTTGTAGTCTTCCAGTGGTAATTAATCTATTTCCTTGGTCTAGCTTTCCCCAGACTTTTGGACAATTCAAATATGGTTATATTTTTCCCATAAACAATCTCAATTCAAAGCTGTGCCTTTTCAAATATCCATCTCACATTCACACCTCTTCAAAAGAGAGTATTGTCTCAATGTCATGAATGAGAGTTTTGTCTGTTTGCACTTAAATGACTGCCGTGTATTTGTACAGTCTGATGTTTTAAGAATTTGGATGGACTTCAAACTAGTGGATGTAAGATGATTTTGTTTTCATATAAATTTACATGGATATACAGTTATACTGCTCTTCAAAGTACTATTTATGACTGTTTGAGTCAAAAATTGATTCCGTACTCCATGAAGTGAGGTTTGCCAGATAAAATGTTATTTTCATTTACCTGACTGGTATTTTCTCCCCCATATAAGGCTCCTGCCTCAACACCTCCAGAATTTTGTTTTTCAATTCTTTTATTCTATCTGCTTTTCCTTCTTCCTTGGCTGGATATGTTTAGAAAACGAATTCAAAGCATAATGTAACACAGAAACATGTGCTTACAATGAGAACAGTTTTTATCATACATATTTTACCACTGACAACATAGCTAAGATGATAAACTCTTCAAATCATTTTCTGTTCCTTATTTCAAACTCTGAAATTAATGGATCTGTCAGCAAACATTTATAGGCCCAAGTATGGAAACACTGGTACTTAAAGAAACTGAAAGCTAAGAAGAGTGCAGCTGATAAAAAAATAAATAAATAAATTTTCACTTGCACTTAATTAGCCTGAACTCATTCAACCAGGGCAGTATCCTTCCCTCATCACTCCCACAAAAACATTCTATATGTTTAGCAAGCTTTTAAATTATAATGACACAGCAGAACTGCTTGATGACATGTAAATGTGAGTCAGGTAATAATTATTGTAAGCTCAATGCTTGCCAACCATCTACCAAATGGGCCTTTGATTAAAAAAAAATGGCCACAAATTAAGTGTACTTGGAATTGACACAAACACAAGCTATTAAGCAATTATAAAACCATCAATTACTGCAAGTAACACATTGTAAAGGATACAATATGACATGAGATATCTTACCTGTTTTATGTTTCTCTCTCTGCTTTCGAATCTTCTGGATAGATTTCTTAATCAAGTTTGGTCTCTCAGTGTTGTCAATGCAGAATAAGGGTCTGACCACATGCTTCTCATATTCCATACCAGAAATTCTCTCCTGTATTTGATTCTTTATTACTGCTATGTCTCCAACTGGTTTATCAGCATGTGTTCCAACAATAAACACTGGGGGACGGAGGTAGGGTAGCTTATGTTGTGCATTATCATCTGAGTAATCAGTTGCCAGGGCAACACCGTGTACTGTTGCCAGCCATGACAGCAAATTCTCCATGTTTGTGTCATTGTTAGGGTTTTCCAATTTCACAACATTACTCCCTTGTCTCATGCAGGGCTCAGCTGCAGCATCCAAAGGCTTGCTGAGATTGTGCACCAATATATATAGTGCTCGTTGTGATAAGAAGATAGGATGGCTGGCATAGTACAGGTGCTGCCCTGCAAAGTCCCATATATCCATTGAAACATAGGATTCTTCTTTGAATAAGCCACTTTTGATGTGTTTGCCTGTGATATACTTCAACAACTGATGAAAATGCTTCGCAGTATCAGGAGGTTGAGCAACATCAATAATTACCGTGGGTTCATCTAAGATGCATTCCTTTGAGTGTTCAACACCACTGTTATGGAAACCACCTACTGGCCAGTAATCTCCTGTATCCTCAACCTGAGTAAAGTATGAAATAGGTTGAAATTAATTACCCTAAGTACCACAGTAATTCAGTTTAGCCAGAAACTTCACTACACATTTGAAATAATTATGTCAAAGTTTTGATGTAAATTAGACCAAATGACAGTACATTAAGTGGGAGGGAAATTATTGTTAGACCACAAGCAGTTCCCTGGTTCTTGGCTAAGACCTTTAGAAAGTAAAAAAATCAATTAAAAAAAGATTTAACAATTTAGATTTTCTCCTCACTTTGAGGTTCACATAACTTTCAGTTGACATTAATCATTAAAAACTGTGCTGTCATTAAAAATTGCCTTAAGCAAGTTTGTGAAGAACCTTTTTGGAATTCTTACATCACCTTTTCTCTGCCATAACTGTAACCATAAATAGATCCCTCTTCAAAATCTGCAGGTGAAATGTAGGCTAAATCTTTTTCAAAATCTTCATCTGAACTTTCATCTTTATCTTCTACATCAATATACATGTCATATTGTGTAAAAATGTTCTCTACCATAATCTTTGCCACATCTTTAGAACATTCCAACAGTCCTGGCTTATTCTCACCAATGGACTGCCAGTTGCTTGCAGCTTGGTCAACATCAATTTTGCACTTTGAAGGATCCACTTCAATCCCCTCAGTGCTCTGTTCTTTAGAGTTAAATGGAAGGCCTAGGAGACTCTTCTTTAAACTGGTTTTACCGGCACGATCCTGACCAATGAGTAATATTCTACTGCGGTTAACCGTGACATATCCATCTTTCAAAGCAATTTCATAAGCCAGCTGTGCTTCAAGTCTATCTGGTATTTGGCATACTTAGAAAAAGTTTTGCAACACAAAGAAAATAGTAATTTGCAAATTGATAAATTTGTACAAAATAAGTAAAAAAAACAACTAGTATAAATACCTAACATGAACAATGTTGGAGTCAAAAGCCAGTATATAAAAATTGAACCATCAAAATTGTTTTTTTTTTCTGATGTTAATATATTAGTGAGTTTGGAAAACACATTTATTCCACTCTTACATGAAAGTTACACAGTCAATCAAAATAATTATTCAGGCATAAAATGTAGTGATAATTTGGTGAACATGCACACCAAAACTAAACTGACCCACTTGTGACTG